CGAAAAAACGGGCGTGTGTGTGCGTGCGTGCGTGCGTGTGTCTGTGTGTCTGTGGTGAGGTGAGGAATGCTTGCAGGAGCTGGAGTTTGGCGGGGGGTTGCGCGCTTGCTGTGCCCTGTTGTCGTCGTCGTCGTCGTCGGCGTCGTGATGGGTATACGTGCCCACGAGTCGTCATGCTGGGTTGGAGGCCAAGGAATCAGTGTTTGAGATCGGCTTTTTGGACTGTCTCGTAGATTGTAGCGTGCAGTGGCGTGGTTGTTTCTGCAGGGTTTAGTGACTTGGGAGGTTTTCCAATTGCATGGATCGATAGACATTCTTCCATCCGGATGGACGACGAACCTAGGTAGCCTTTGCCTAGTCGTTTGCTTCCTGCTTCATGCTTCCTGCGGCCCGCTTCCTATCCTCGACACCGTTGGTGGTGGTGAAGGAATATTCGAAAGCATACCTGACAACAATCCGTAAGTAGTAAGTTGGGCAGCGCGCTGATCAGGGCGTCAGTCCGTTGCAGCCATAATAACAGCGGACCCGCTTTCTGTTTCGCCTTGCCTTTGCCTTACCATGGCGTGTGGCGCGGGTTGAAGGTCACTGGTCAAGCCAGGACGGACTGAACTGATTGACTGCACTTTGGCGAACCTCGGAGAACACCACGAATTTGGCTGCAAAAACGCCTGTTTCCCCGCCAAGCAACAAAACAGTATCAATTTGGTGTCGCAGTGATGCCTGCACAAAGTATATACATAAATCTGATGGTGTTGAGTTTTTTGGAGTCGCTCAGTACGGTGTTGCCCGCCCCTCCGTATCCAAACAAGCGTGCATTCGCTTCCTCATTGTCAACACCAGCTTGTTGATTGAGACCTGAGAGATATGCCTCCACTGATACTGTATCTCACGAAGCAGTTGTTCCTGATCGTCGCACCGGACTCGGCGGATACGCTGCTTCAGCATCCTCTATACGTTCTTAATGACAGAGAAGTCAGGCGAATAAGCGTAATTTTTATAGGACTAGATGCCGTGCTTTTTCTTAAAATTAGTAACCGGGTTATTGGTAGATCTATAGCCATAAGCGCTATCTCTATCCCCTTTAAGTATAAAGAGATCTCGCCTGGGGTTGCCTTTATAGATATACTACCTGAAGCGAAGCTCTGGGAGATATATCCTTTTAAGAATATCCTGATACTGTACTATAGAGAGATTCCTAGTACCCTCCTAGTCCTAATATAAGTATAACTCGGTCTTAAAGTTCTACCTAACTATAGCCTAGAAATATAGCGTTGTCGGGTTTTTCGGGTTCTTATACTGGTTATAGTCTAGGTCGTGTATCTCGTCTGGACTACGCGTTACCTACTTCTTATTTTCTTAGCTAATAGTAAAGTGTGTTTCGTCGCTAAAATGAACGTAGAGCTAGCGCTCGTTCTAGTTAAGGTAATCTCTTGCTTAGGTTCGGCGGTTACGTGCGATAATAGGACTGAGATAGCGCTTCTAGTAAGACTTGTATCTATAATAGCCGCGGTGAGCGAGTGCCCTGCGTAGAGTACGCTCCTTAATATACTTATTATTCTATGGATTGCGAATATCTAGTGTCTGAATTACGTTGAAAAGACTTAAGGCCCGGCGCTTAAAGGAGAAAGTTATCTAGAGGATGATTGCTGTTAGCAGTTTGCTAATGAGGATGAATGGCCGGCCTGTGTGCGTAATTCTGCCTCGTCTGCGAGACGTCTTATTATTAAGAAGCCTGTAGGCGGATCTGCGAGGGACTGCGTAGTCCTTGTAGACTTATGAGAGCGACTTGCGAAGGTGTTTGGGCCGAGCTCGCTCTTGTGCGATAGCTGCACGGAAGGCGGCTTTCTGTGGCGTGGAGTACTCCTTGTCGTGCTGGTGCTGGCCCAGAGGCGAGAGAGAACGATCAGGTGTAAGATCTGCAAGTTGTTTGGCTCGAATGTCGTCCTGCATGGTTGTGCATGGGTGCTGGTTGCGATGCTGGAGAACGTGCGACAAATTGGGTGGGGTTCTCCGACGCATGGACCACACGGAGTGTGCCAGTATCAAAGTCCGCATGCCTGATCCTCGCGCGCCCAGACGCGAGTAACGAATGGGCATGGCGCGGCCTGGCGGGCTGGATTAGCGAGCGACCTGGCGACTGGCGAGCATCACCGTCCGTGACCACAAACAACGACACGACAACGACATCAAAACAAAACAAACCCACCCTATCCTCCTTCTCCCTACACACCCTCTCCCATCGCAGTCATTCCTACCCAAACCCCCCTACAACTCCACCCGCCCAACCCCAACCCGGCCGCCGCCCCCGGATTAGGATGGGAGCGTGATTGGGCGCACACACGGGCGCGCGATCGTCCCGCGGGCCCGTACGCGGTATCTGTCTGCGACGCGCCGACGCCTCAACCCGCGCACGCACCGCCTACATCCATATCCAAACTGGTCCAAGCCGGTCCAAGCCCTCCTGATCAGTGCTCAGTGCTCACCAGTGCTGAGTGCTCGCAAGCCAAGCCCGCGTGCTCGCACACGTCGGACCTTCTGCGCGCCGAGGTCCGCTTCCCAGGTAATCCGTACCTTAGCTCCGTCCGACATGCCCGGGATCCGCACGCCCTAGGTAACGACCTACCTGCGATCGACGTGCGCTAGCTGTATAGGTGCTGCTTGTGGGATGTGGTTGAGTCGTGTGTGTGGCGGTTGGTTGGGTGTGGTTGTGTGTGACGGGTTGAGGGTTGGGAGGGTAGGTAGGTAGATAGTTAGTGAGGTAGGTTGGGTGGGTTTGTTTGTTTATTTGGTTTGGTGTTTGTGTTTATCGACTGTCGTCTGCGCTCTATGCTGTACTTCGTACACACAGCGCGGGAGCCTCAACCGTGTAATCCGTACCTAGCTAGCAGCACAGAGGGACGAAGGATCAAACCTGCAGCAGCAACTCCTCCTCCTCTTCCCCCATCCAAAGCTATCATTACCGCCGGTAGGTACGTAGCACCCCATCGCTGCCGTCAGCAAATAGGCAGTACCTTTGGTAGTACGGTACCTAGGCTCCAGCGACCCGTATTCCCGCGCAGAAGGATCAGCTCAAGCGCACGGCACGCACCCACATCCACACACACACACAGCGAGATCAATGAGCACCTTCTACAAGCGCACAAGCGGCCCAACAAAGCTCAACGAAAATAACTCCTCAAGCACGTACAATATTGTAGGATCTCGGCGGCTCCTCGACACCCACCCAGGTACCTACGCAGCACGCACAGCCGCTTCAGCCTTCCAGCAGCCAGTGCAGCGCCCGCACGACTCGCCTAACCACAAAGCCGACTCATCGCGCTCCCAGCTAGGCAGCCACGTCCCGACTCTACGACCGACTGAGTGCGGCGGGCCGCAAACCAGCCCAGCCCAAGCGTTGATCCACTATACACACCTCAGGTACCTCCGCCTTGACCCTGTCTGACTAACATAGGCAATCGGTACCTAGGTACGAGATACGAGGGCTGCGTTCGCCAATCACTGCGGCTTGCGCTGCTGGCAGGCATGGCATTGTCGCTATGCTATTGTACCTGGTGGGACGGGGCGTAGGTACCACCACCGCCACCGTGTGCCTACCTACCTAGGTCGATGATTTCCGACGCCGCTGCCGCCCCCGTCGCCGCCGCCGACGACGAGGACGGCGATCATGATCATGCATGCGGATTGCTGCTGGGCGTGCGCCGGCTTGCTTGGTAAGCGATTACTTATTTATGATCTGCCGCTGATTACTCCGTACTTACCTAGACTGTGCAGCATGGACGCAGCAGCACGACCAGCACAGGGCAGTCCCGCTGAAACGAGAAGAGTGAGCGACCGGCACTAGCACCAGCAACGCATGGATACGCAAATATTTAGGTAGGTAGGTAGGGTATTAGGTACGGATTACCTAGGTAGGTCTGTCTCTTTCCACGACGACCAAGACCACGACCACGGCCAAGAGAACGCCCGCCGCCGCCACCATCAAAACCCCCCTCCCCATCCCATCCCAAAAGCAACCCCATGGAACCCGCCACTAACCCCGCCAAGCCCGCCAGAGCCGCACGGCCCGACAGACCGGCGCGGTAGGTGCGCGCGGCTGCTGCCTAGGTGCCGCAGGTGCCGCAGGAGCCTAGGGTAGTTAGGTACGGTAGCGCAGCTGCCTAAACAAACAACCACCTACCTAGGCAAGGCGCGCGACAATCAATTAATCAATCACTCAATCAAGCACGTACGCAAGCAAGCAGTGGCTTGCGCGTTCCTTGCATCACTACAATTCGATGCCGTAAGCAGGCACGCAGGCACGCAGCTCTGGCGGAGCGGTCTAGAACCCGTCCTGAACTAGATAGATATGTACCTAGGTACGTGGGATGCATGGAAGATAGAAGGCGTGGGAGGGATCGAAGGAGCCACTGCGCCTGCGTGCCTAGATATAATATGTAGGTAAGTTGTTTGTAGGCTAAATAGATACCTAGGGCTAACGCCGCGTGTATGTGTATATATGTACGGATACTTGGGGCTAGATTGGCTGGGCTGGGCTGGTCTGGGATGGGGTAGGCTGGGATGGGATGGGATGGATAAGATAAAGCAAAGCAGGACACGCACGCCAGACGCATATACATACGCAGTAGACGAATAACGCGCAGAGGCAGAGGGGAGGGGCGCGAGGGAATGGGATGGTGGAGGTGTTAAAGTGCTGGTCTGGCCTGGCTACCTACCTACCTAGATAGTGAGTGAGTGTACACCTAGCACGGGCAGCTCCAGCTACGACGGCGGATAGCCCGCGTTGCGTGCCGGTATCCGCATCCGCAATCGGCACGCGCCGGCCGGGCGCACGGGAAGGGAACCTGGAGGCGGCTCGTCCGCGGCAGCGGCACGAGGTCGAGGAAGAAGAAGTGGAAGAAGAACAAGAACAATAACAATAACAATAACAATAACAGCAACTGACAGACAACCACCCACCTCACCCCGTCACGAGGCACCGACCAGCACCGACTAGCACCGACCAGCAACCACTCAGGTCAAGCGCAGCGTCCAGACGGGAAAGCGAGCGCACTACACACACACACACACACACACACAAAGCCGGGCAGCCAACCAACCAACCAACCGGCGGTCCGGCCCTAAGCCCCCCCCCCTCAGCTCCGACGGGCACCACGGCCCACGGCCCACGGGCGACGCCACTCGCTCTCGGGCGCCCCAAGATCCGGCTGCGGCACGCGGGCACGCGGGCACGCGGGCACTTAAGGGCCAAGGCACCTCCATGCGTGGTCTGTGAGCGGCGGGCTGTGACTCTTGACTCTTGCTTGCCTGACTCTTGCCTACACGATAGTTTTTGTGCGTGTGTGGCCTGCTCGCACTCCCGCGCCGGCAACAAGCAAGCGAGCGAGCGCGCGCGTTCTACCTAGGTGTCCGAGGGTAAGTGTGCGAGTGTGCGTGCGAGTGAGCGAGTGAATCAGTCGGGGCCGGCTGATGTGCGGGCTCCATGTGCGGCAGCGGCAGCGGCAGCGGCAGCGGGCGCGCGTGCCCGCGCGGGGACAAGGCAACCTGACTGGACCTACCGTGCCTACCTGGTTACTGGCATGGCATTCGAGGCGGGCACGCAACGCACGCACGCAACGCACGCATGCACGACAAAGTCAAGTCGGGCGGCAACAACAGCAGCAACAGCAGCGTGGACAAGGTGGGCGGAAAGACGGGCGGGTGGTGGGTGAGGTGGTGGACGAACGCCGCCAACCGCCTTGCCGCCGCCCTCGGCCACGGCCGACGCCGACTGCCTGCCTTACCTACGTACCTTGTCCCCCGCCCCCGTGGCCGGCAGCGGCGACGGCGACGGCGACGGCGGTGCCCGGCTAGCTGGCTCCATGGGGGGCGCCCGGTCACGGGTAGAGTTAGTTGAGTTGGGCAGAGCGAGCCGAGCTGAGGTGCAGCGGGCGGCAAGGCGGTGCGGCAGGCAGGCAGGCAGGTAGGTAGGTGCCTTAGGCCTTAGGTAGGTAGGGCAGCAGGCACGCAGACGGAGTCTGGGTCTGGGTCTGGGTCTTTTGGCTGGGGCAGGCAGGCGGGCAGGCTGGTTGGCTGGGACCGGGACTGGGGCTGGGGCTGGGGCTGGGGCTGGGGGCCAGACGGAAGGGCAGAGACATGCACCTCCGCACAAGGACCCGTCACCCGTCACCGACACAAGACGCAGACATGGCAGGCTGATGAGCCGGAGTCTAGCCAGGATGGCGCGAGCGGGCAAAGAGAAAGAGGAGACCGAGAGAGATGGAGCAGCAGCGCGCAGATCATCAGTCAGGGCCCGGCCGATACGCGTGCCGTTAACTCCACGGGCTGTGACAGGCGCGGCGGCGGGATGGGCCCTTGCTTCGGAAACGTCGCGCCGGCGGGAAGGCGCGGCCGCTAGCGGGGGGGTCGGGGCGAGGACGTGGCGGTTGCGGGTGTGGGCGCGCGCGGGCTGTTTCGCCGTGAGTACTGATGTGCAGGGCAGACGACGACGACGACGACGGCAATGGCAAAACACGAACAAAGTGGAGAGACTACCCCGAGAGAGAGAGAGGGGGCAGGAAGGGATGGGCATGGTCGTGGGTCGATGTGCATGGGATTTCGCAAGGCGAGATCGCGCGGGAGATGGCAATGGGCGGCGGGGTACTGGTTTGCTCGCTGATGAGGCGAGAGGCGAGGGTGTTGCTTGCTTGGAGGGGCTCGTGCGGACGCGGGTGGAGGAAGGATGTGGAGTCCCGAAGGAGGGAGGGGCCCGGGGGAGACGTTGTTCAAGCATGCAAGCAAACACGACCAACAACGTCCCCATGACGGAGGCGGCTCCGGGCGACGCAGAGCAGGCAGGCAGCCCTTCTCGATGCGATCTGGGAGCCTGCTTTTTCGTAGATATCCGAGTGTGGACCGGATCGATCTGGCAATGCACGTTGGGCTGGAAGGAGAAGAGCTAGAGAGCGCGCCGCCATGCCGCCCGCCGCTAAGGGTGATCAGAAATAGATCAATTTGGGCGGGCGGGTCTCAGGCGTCACGAGGGCAGGGGTGCGAGCCGAGGCATCTGGCCTTGTTGCGCTTTCAGGCATTGCGCTGCGCAGCTCGGGTCGTCGGGCGCGCGTGTTTCTGCAGGCGTGGAAATTGGAGGGAAGGGGGGACCACTTCCAGGTGCATGAACTGGTGGTGGAGGGAGGGATGATTGCTTTGCTTTGCTTTGCATGTTTATTTTTGTTTATCTACAGGGACGAGGGACGGGGGCCGGATTGATGACGACGATGATGAACGAGCACGCGGGTTCGCAGGTTACAGTGCAGACCGGCAGCAAGACGCAAGACGCAAGACGCAAGACGCGGGACGCGGGACGCGGGACGCGGGACGCAGGATACGCAGGACGCAGCTGTGGGCGTGTGTGGCGGTGAGAGTCAAGAGAGTATGTACTGTGAGATCCTCAGCCAGGTCGAGCCGCATGCAGATCGGGAAGATACTCGAGCGGATCTGGATCTACCAGGGCAAGACTCACGGGGAAGCGGCAGCGACAATACTTGGCGCGGCAATATGGATCTGAGGGCCCATCTGAAACCGGAGGCTACCCCAGATTGCGCAATGCCAGCCAAACCCAGCGTTCGGGGTGCGCCCGTTTCATCGCGAAGGCTCTATTCCACCGCTGCGGGCCCAACCACGAGCGCGGGTCTCCAGCTGCAACAATAAGCCTCTCCCCCGGCCAGCGCCTCGCGCTCGCCCCCAGCCCGCCCAAATGGCCCGTCATCCATGCTGTCCCACTGCCTTGCCCATCCCTGCTGCCGCCAATCTCAGCGCCGTCGTGTATAAACCCTCCTTCACGCTTCTTACCACTCGCCCGGGTTCGATTAAGCTCCGCCACATCCTCCTGAGAAGTCTACTTGTACTCAAGAGACACCCAACGTCCTTCGTTTTGCAAACACTCCCCCCTCCACCAGTCACACAGCATTGCTCCCTCTCAGAATGACCGCCGTCATGGCTCCCCAGCACACCGGATCCTGGCCACGACGGGACGAGTACAGCATGCACATGCCCGCCATCAACTTGTCCACTCTTCCCTCGCCCTATGCTTCGTCGTCGTCTTCGTCGCAGGCGTCGTCGTCGAGGGTCATGCCCTCCTCTCAGGCCCAGCAGTACCACTCCCAACCCTACGACTCTCAGGTCCCCTACTTCCAGACCTGCGGCCCGCCTTCGTCCATGTCGCACTCCTACTCGACCTCGTTTGCCTACGACCCCGTCGAGTCGACCGCCTACACCGTCCAGCCCAGCTTCAGCATGAGCTATCCGCCCGCCTCGGCCCCGGCTCCCTCGTATCTGGGCAGCTCGGTGCTGCAGTCGGGCTTGCCCACTTATCCGCACATTGGTAGGAGCCCGCCCGTCAAGACCGAGACGCACTCGCCCGTCGAGGCCTACCAGCAGTTCAGCGAGCTCCGCCTGGGCGACGACTACCGCGTCGCCAGCTCGGGCGAGTCGGACAACGGCGCCGGCACGGCCTTCCACACGGATATCGACACGCTCATGAAGGCCATCCAGGCGAAGCAGGAGAATGTACGGCGGCAGCCGCCGCCCGCCGCGAGCGTGAGTGTGTGACGGCAGCCATTGTTGAACAGACACTGACCATCTCCAAGACCGAAGTGACACCAGTCACCAAGCCGGGTGACAAGCTGAAGAAGAGGTACCGGTGCAACCACCCTGACTGCAACAAGAGCTTCTACCAGAAGACGCATCTGGACATCCACAGGCGGGCGCACACCGGCTACAAGCCCTTTGTAAGACGCTCCCTTTTCTCCGCTGCAGCCATGGCTAGAAGAAACTGACTTGGCTCGAGGTATGCAAGGAGCCTTCGTGCGGGCAGCGTTTCTCCCAGCTTGGGAACTTGAAGGTAAGAAGGCGTCTCGAAGTGGTCTGACGGCGTCAGTTGCTGAGAGCGATTAGACGCACGAGAGACGACATACCGGCGAGCGGCCGTACAACTGCGACATCTGCGGCAAGACGTTTGCACAGCGCGGCAACGTGCGAGCGCACAAGATTGTGCATCAGAACATCAAGCCGTTTGTGTGCAAACTCGAGGGTTGCGGCAAGCAGTTCACCCAGCTCGGCAACCTGAAGGTACCGGAAATCTCTGACCCACGTGTCATTCACGACAACAACACTGACCACTCTACAGTCGCACCAGAACAAATTCCATGCCCAAGTCCTGAAGCACCTCACCCGGAAATTCGCCTCGTTCCGCGAGGGCCAGGTCGTGTCGGAGCAGGACCGCGAGCTGTGGGAGTATTTTGCCTCTCTGTACAAAAACTCCAACAAAGGCATCAAGGGGCGTGGCAAGGACCGCCGCATCTCGACCATTTCCTCGTCGGCGGGGGCGTCGTCGTGCTCGCCGGCCTCGTCGTCGTCGACAACGCCCGTCCCAGCCAGCTGCACCGCGCCCTCGTCAGCCTCGCCGACCGCTCCCTCGATGCACGTCTCGACGACCACGGCCGCCGGCGCCGCGTACAACATCCCGCCCAGCCTGTCCTCGCCCTACTCGACCCTCTCGACGACGAGCTCGCACCGCTCGTACGCCAGCTCAGGCAGCGTCGTGTCGAGCAACGCGGTGGCCGCGGCGGCGGCGGCAGCACGCGACCACTACGGGCACGGGCACAGCAGCAGCAGCCGCTCGCCCTCGCTGTCCAGCGCCTCGGAGTCGGAATACCACCGGCACGTAGCTGTGGGAGGAGGAGGAGCAGCAGCAGCAGCAGCAGCAGCAGCAGCAGCACCGCCCTCATCCCAGCGCTACGGCGCCCCTGTCTACGCCGCCGGCCCCTCGTACGCCCCCCAGCACCAGCACCAGCACCCGCACCCGCACCCGCCGAGGCCCCTGTCGGCGTCGCAGCGGGCGCCGCCGCCACAGCACCAGCAGTCTTCTCAGCAGCCGCAACCGCAACAGCCGCAGCCGCACTCGCAAGCGGCCCGGCACCAGCGCCCCCATCACACCCAGTACCAACCGCAGGGCGCATCGTACGGCTCGTATGCTTACCCGGATGCGAAGCTGTACTAGGTAGCTGAGGCGCTGGTCAGGCGAGAGCGAGACACGACGACGACGACGACGACGACGACGACGCGGGGTTCACGACCGTCTGGGCAGTAGATGAGAGTGAGCATTGGCATGGCATTGGCATTGGCATTGGCATGGCATGGCACGGCACGGCATGAGCGAGCACGAGCATTAATGGGCGATGGCTTGGCTGGCTGGCTGGCTGGTGGGCTGGGCTGGGCTGGGCTGACCGTCGGTGGTGGTGCGTATGGCCTGCCACCACCCACCTAGGCTCCGGCCAGGCCTGGCTTGGCGACGCGGCGTCGGTCTGGCCATATTGCTGGCTGTTTTTTTGGGCGACATACATACATTCACACACATACACACACATACACAGTCCCTCTCTCCCTCAATCTCTCTGTCATCTCCCTCTTCCTTCCCTCTTCCTTCCCTCTTCCCTCCCTCTTCCTTCCCTCTTCCTTCTTTCCCTCTCATACTCTCTCTCTCTCTCTCTCTCTCTCTTTCTATCTCTCTCTTACTCTTACTCTCTGGGTACCACAGTTGGCTAAGCAAAGCAAAGCTCAAGAAGAAGCGCGGCATTTAGCATCGGCGCGAAAAGCAAGACCGGCACGGCGTTAAAGGGGAAGATGCAGCAGAAGGAGAAGAAGAAGAAGGAGGAGGAGGAGGAGATGGAACGCGAAAGCCTGAAGATTGAGCTGAGACTGAGACGGCCGACGATGAGGAAGAAGCGTGGCAAGGCATCTGGCGCACGCAGTCACGACACCACCAGCGGAGTCGGTCGGCAGTACCCGGGCTTGTGGATCGCTGTTCTTTTCATCTCGGCATTGCTTCCAGGGCGTGTGTCTGGGGTTTCTTTTGTCTATCTAGGCTGGGGTTTTAGGCTTGGGCTTGGGTGCTGTTTATTTTTCTTCTTTTATTTTTTTTTTATTTTTTATTTTTTATTTTTTTTCGTTTTTTCGTTGTGCGTTTTTCGTTTTGTTTTTGTGCATCTTGTTCTATACCTATACCTATACCTACGCGGCTGGTGAAGATGGTGACGGTGGCTATGCGGGGCTTGCTGGCGCTGTTGCTGCTGTCGCTGGAGCTGGAGCTGTCGTTGGAGCTAGAGTCGCGTCTCTTACATACCGTACCTCCGTACCTACTACCTACTGCTCTGCGGCGCGTTTGTATCTACCTACCTACTTATCTTCTGTCTTGGGGTTGATTATACGTCTTTGTCGCTGTTTCTGGGTCCGTTCTGCTTGTTTGACGGGCTGGCTGTATGTCTGTCTGTCTGTTGTCTGTTATTGTTTGTTGGTGCGTTGGGTGGTCTGTTTCATACCTACTACGTTTACATACATACATATATATATATATATATATATATATACGTCGATACGGTTTCTTTGAGTCTTACATACCTTACCTATCCCTCCCTCTTTCCTCTCTCCCCTTCTCCCTCTCTCTTCATATTTACTTCTTTCTTCCTCTCTATCTTTCTCCCAAAAGATCTTAACCCAGATAACGCGATTCCTGCACATGATGTAGATACATACACATACATACTATCCAACCAACCAGCCAGCCAATCAGTCAGTCAGTCAAGTCCAACCAGCACCATCATCACTCACACGCACCACGCACTCCACCCCAGCACCCCAACACCCCCGCAGCACAAACCCAAGGCAAAACGCAAAATGCAGGACACGGCATGCCCACAACCCCGAGCCAGGTCCGAGGACTAGGGCAGCACAGCACACAACATACCACAGCACACACACACAAGACGGCGCAGCAGCACAGCGCAACAGCACGGCACGGCATTGAGCACAGTCAAGAAACCTAGGCGGCAACGGCAACGTCGCCCAGCAGCAACGCACGCCGACGTGTCAAGGCCTCGGCTGGGCCAGAAAACTGCAGGACGCCGCCGACGACAACGACGACGCGATGGCTCACATAGCACACGGTTGCTGCTTGCACGCACACGCACGCATGCGGTATGTAGCCAGTACATACATACGCACGCAAGTAGCAAGTAGCATGCACGCAAAGCACTTAGGAAGGAGCGGGTCTGGCGCGGCGCGGTACTGTACCGTACAGTGCAGTGCGTACAGCGTCCCACGGCGGTGGACCGCGTGCGCGCGCGCGTTTCCGGGTCCTCGGGTCGTTGCTGGTTTTCGTGCAGGTGGCTGGTGTGCACTGAGCGCTTGCTGCATGCATGTATGTAGGTGTGGTGTGTGTGGTGGGAAAAGACGCCGTGTCGTGCTGCCCGCTGCCCGTGCTGCGCTGTGCTATGTGAGATGACATGATGAAGTGTCGGCGTTCATTGCTTTTTGGCGTAGGCTGGTACGGTGGGCTGGTAAGTTGGTAAGCTGCATGATTGGTGTGGTTTGGGATGGGATTGGGGCGGGGCGGAAGGGAAAGGCGGCGGAAGCGAAGGGGAAGGCTAGGGGAAGGGACTGACTGGGACGGCGTCGTAGTTTCTTTTTCTGGGCATGGTTGCTTTTGGCTCTTTGCTTTTTCCTACCAAAGGTTTGTTTTCCCAGTTTTGGGGGTTTGGGTTTTTTGGTTGGGTGGGAATGAGCCAGTGCTTGATTGATGGTGGGGTGGGACTTGGGGTGGTCCTGGTTGGCGGGTTAAGGGTTGTTTATTTTGCCCTTTTGTCACTCTGTCATTTCCATGTCTTGGGTTGGGTTGTGCGGCTTTGCGGCTTTGTGAGCAAGGGGGACGGGCCTAGAGGAGTGCTGTGGTGGTGGTGGTGGTGCTTCAGTCCAGTCCAGTCGGCACTGCACCGCAACGCACTCACTCACTCACTCACTCACTTACTTACCTCTCACCCCCACTCGCCAGCACACAGCACACAGCAGCCCAGCCCAGCCCAGCCCAGCCCAGCGCAACCCAGCCTAGCCACCTCACCCCCGCCTCCCAATCGTACGGGCCGTTTCACATTGCTTTTCCCGCAGCGCGTCTCCATCTCACCACTCACCACTCAGGACCTCGCATCCCCAATCCACATTTCTTTTCCCTCCCTCCAGCTCCTTCACCCCCGTCCCAGCCAGCCCATCCAAGCATATTCATATTCCTTCTTCCCAAACTTCTGCCCCTCTTTCCCTACATAGATATGTATGTACGGTGTACCTAGCCTAGATTTCTGCTCGGAACGCCGGCACACCTACCTGCATCTGCAGCTGGCTGAGGCTCCTGCTTCTGCTCCTGCTCCTGCTCCTGCTCCTGCTCCTGCTCCTGTTCCTGCTCCTGCTCCTACTCCTGGCGCCTGCTTCTCTTTAGGCTTTGCATGCTAGCTAGCTGCTCCTGCTTGCGCTTTCCTTTCCATCCTTTTCCTGCGCCGGGGTCCCGAGTTCCGACGTGCCTGCGTCCTGCGGTCCACGTCTAAAAGACATGCAGGTGCAGTGCAGTGCAGGCGTGCCTCACCCCACCCCTCCCCTCCTGCCTAAAGCCTAAAGCCTAAAGCCTAAAGCCTAAAGCCTAAAGCCTAAAGCCTCATGCCTGGAGCCTGATGTCTTAGACAGACAGCACGCAGTCTTCATCAGGCCATCTCGCACGCCAACATGTCGCGCCTTAGAGCCTTGCCGAGCCGCACTGCCGGGCCTGCTCGAGCTGTTCCGTGGTGTCGGGTCTGGGGCTGTACGCATGCACGCGGCGCTGGCCAGCGCATCACCGCTTCGTTGGCTGTGGTGGTGCTTGGTGGTGGTGCTGGTGCTGGCTATGGGGGGTGAGGGGGTGTGGGTGGGTGCTCTCACTGTTGCTGTTGCTGTTGTTGGCGTTGTCGATTCTTCCCGCTTTTGCGGTGGACGCTGTGTGCTGGGTTTTTCCTGTTTCTGTTTCTGTTTCTGTGTCTTCTGCTATTTCTCTTTTTTCTGGCGTATGGGAAGGTCTTGCAGTGCTTTCTGCTAATGTTAACGTTGTTAGTATTGGTGCGTTGTTGTGTTGTTGTGTGGTGGAGGTATGGTCATGTAGGTGATGGTTTTATAGGGAGGATTTCGGTTAGATTTTTAGGTGTCGTGGTAGTGAGGTTAGGTTTTTATGGATGGATATATATATAGATATAGATAGAGAGGTAGTATTTAAAAGAAAATGGATATAGCTTATTAGCTTATTATTTTATAAGATTAGTAGATATAAAGTATTTAACTATTAAATTAGTTTTCTTATCTATTATATTTATATACTCTTAACTATATCTAGCTATTTTTTACTTCTTTTAACTCTATCTCTTTCTTTCTTTTTATATATATTTATATTATATATCTACTCTTACTACTCCTTCTACCTCCGTCTTACTTGACTAAAACTATAACTACTCTACTCTTATTTTTACATTATCTTCTTCTTCTTCTTCTTCTTCTTCTTACTTTAAAAATAACCTACCTATTACGTATATAAACACCTATACAATACAAGTATATACAATATCTATAATGTATAATATAATACTTCTATTATAGTACCTCAGCAGTATTCAAGCATACACACCAACCTAACAATAATCTTTATACACAACACATCACAGCACACAGCGGCCATCACATTACAACCACAACCGCCCACACCCACCCACTCTCACCACCACCCTCTCCAAGTCCCACAGACACAGCACCGGAACCGAACCGAACCTCGCTAGGCAATCTGATCTGATCTGATCTGATCTGATCTGATGAGATCTACGCACCAACCCACCCTCACATAATCTACACTCTCTCCTCACTCTCACCCCTTCCCCCTCCCCCTCCCCCTCCCCTAACCCCTCTACACAAGCACACACAAGCACAAGCACGCACAGACACACAGACACGCCCTCCCACGACCGACCCTCCTCACTGATGCACGCACGCACGCGCCCACCCCATCCCGCCCCCATCCTGCCGATCCCAATCCCCACCGACCGCCGGGACCCGGACCGACGGCTCCTAGAGCGAGCGAGCGGGCAGGCACCAGCGCCAACGCCAGCGCACAGCCCTCACGTCTGCCTCGAGCCTTGCGGTCGCGGTCGCGGTCGTGCTCGTGCCGGGGCCTGGGTAGGTAGGCACGAGGCACGAGGGACAAGGGCAAAAAGAACGCGGGCACCAAGCGTGCGGAAGTGGAGCTACTACTCCGTAGCTAGGAACGAGGCCTACAGTACAACAGGAACGGGGGGCCTAGCACAAGGACAAGGGCAAGGGCAAGTAAAGCATCAACCTACCCACCAACCCAACACCTACACACGCACGCACATCGGGCACCGAAACGGCGAGACGAGTGCCTAGGTAAGGTACCTACCTAAGTAGATCGACCGATCGCTTGGGCAACGGCAGTGGCGGCATCGGCGTCGGCGTTGGCGCTGTGGGTACGGCGGGGCTCGGGGTCGGGGTCGGGGACTTTTTTTGATTGTTTGTTTGCTTGATTGATTGATTGTTTGGCTGGGAGGTAGGTGGGGTGGGCTTCTGTGCCTAGGATACGGTGGCAATGCTGATGACGGGTTTGGGCTCGTGCTGCGTCATGTCCAGGTGCTTCTGTTGAGTAGGGTAGCGTGGTAGGGTAGGTGGGCAGGCGGGCATTGAAAGAGCAGAGGCGGGCGTCGCTGTCACTGTCGTATCGACGATGAATCATGGATAGATGCGCATGCTCTGCCCTCCATTCTGCTTACGGGAAGCCGCATCTTGCCGTACCGTGCCGTGCCGGTCTCAGTCTGCCTAAGCTAGGTACAGACACAGGTAGTCCAGATCATCCAGGTCCAGGTCTATGTCCAGGCCCACGTCCATGTCCAGGATGCAGGAGTCAGGCAGCAAATGCTCGAAGCAGCGACTCGGCACCGACACGGCAAGGCCTCGTTGGGCGCCGCTTGCTTGCGTTGCGTTCGATTTTGGGGGCGGCGGCGGGCACGCCGTCTGTCGTGGGCACTATCTAGGTACCATCATCATCGTCATGGCCGCCGCTGTGGTGCTTGCTCCTAATTTTGGCTCTGGAAAGGAAAGGAAAAGGCGAATGAATGAGCGCACTGCTCTGCGCCGAGACGACCTACCTGCCCACCTGCAAACCTGCTCTCCTGCTTTTCCTCTCACCCTACCTAGGTAGGTACAGCTCACCTCGTCAATAGGCACCTACCTAGGTGAACACCATCTCGCAGCGTCGCCCCCACCATCACCACCACAACCAACACCCCAAAGAACCTTACCAGCACACTTACGCACGCTCGCCCTCGCCCTCGCGCCCAAGCTCAAGGGATCATGCCCGCCCGGCCCGTTGCGCATGGAATTCAGGCCGCCCACGCCCCTACCGCCAGGCGGGCAGGCAGGCAGGCCGGCAGCCCGAAAGAGATCTCGAGATCGAGAAAGAGAGACAGCGTGTGAGTGCGTGAGTGAGTGCCCTTAGCCCTTAGGGCAGCAGCATCGTTGCCCGTCGTCACTGCTGCTGCGGCGGCGCGTGCGTACGGCGTGCGTGCGTTGGGTGCGCTGGGTGTGCCGGCATGCGGGCGAGTGGGTGTGTGCCCGCCCGGGTATGTAGGTAGGTACGTGGGTATGTGGGTGAGCGGCAGCCTCACTGCCTCACTGCCTCACGGCAGGCACCTAGGCAGCTGGCGGCCCCTCCTCTCTTCCCTACCCAAGTACCCTACCCTGCCCTACCCTACCTACATTCGACCACCCCTCCCCAAAGAACGGCTGCTGCAACGCACCGCCTGCGCCCCCGCGCGCGTCAGCGATAGTTCGATACGATACCTACCTCCATCGATCCCAAAAAAAGATTTGCGCGTCAGGGGTCCTGCTCCTCTTGCTCCTGCTCTTTCTCCTGTGTCCCGTCCGGATCCAGGCTTCCGCGGGTCGAACACGCACGCGCGCACTGCGATACGATGCGCTGCGCTGCGATCGGGGCAGTGAGGTTGCTGTGCCCTGCCTTTAGGTACCCTACTACCCTACCTACCTTGCCCTGCCCAAGCTGGGTACAAACTACACCACACCAGCTTCGCACTTACCTCCCTACCTCCCTATTCCCTACCCCCTAAGTCCCTGCCTTCTTACCACTTACCAAGGTACCCGCGCTGCTCACTAGGTGCTCACTCGCTGCTGCCTAAAGCAACCACCAAGATCCATGATCCATGCAGCACACCCGGCGCATCCCAGTGGATCCGCATCCGCCCCCACGCCCCACCGCCGCTGCCGCACAGAAGGGAGGGAGACAGACGTGCGGTGCGGCACAGCACCGCACAGCACAGCCGGCACGGTAGGTACGGTAGGTACGGTAGGTAGGTGCGGCAGGTACATACACGCGCGCGTCCCCTCTTTCTAGCCCCTCCCCGCGCGCGTCCAAGACGGACGGATGGGATACGATGGGTGGATGGATGGCCTGATGAGTCTGAAACATACATGCGTGCGGCATGTGCGTTCTGCAGCGCGCAGCAGCAAACAAGCGGCAGGCACCAGCATCAAGAACCAGGCCACCCACCCACGCACCCACGCACCTCCCACCTCGGGGGGTGCGCTGCGCAACGCGGTGCAGTTTGGACGATGGGGGCGGCCGGGAGAAGCGCGAGCAGCGTGGTCGCGCGAGTGCGACAAGCTACCTATGTAGGTAGGTACCTACCTACCTAAGGCCTAAGGCAGGCCAGTGGCCACGATCCGCGGGCAAGACATTTTCGCAGCGCGCAAGCAGACGCAACGGTTGACACGGCAGCGGGCATGGGCAGGGTGAGCACGCAGCGCAACGCTACGCTGCGGGACGGGTCGATACGGTGTGGCGTTTGCTGGATTTCGTCGTTGTGGTTAGTCGTTAGTCGTGCTGGCAGGCGGGTAGCCGGTCGTGTACGTTGGTAGGGTAGCCAGCCAGCCAGCCAGCGTGCCAGCCAACAGCAGCCAACAGCAGCAAGCAAACAGCGGTAAGTACCTACCTACGTATGTATGCACGAGCGACGGACGGGACAGCGACAAGGACAGGGTCAAGGTCATGAACAAGGACGTGGACGACAGCGACAAAGACGAAGACGACTGCGACGACAGCCAATAGATCCGCGCTCCAAGGGCAGTGCAGTGCAGCGCAGTCGACTGTTCTTGGCAGATGTTGACGTACTACGGATGACCTACGGACGACAGACACGGGCGGGAGGCATGCACATTCCCCGGACCCGGTTGACGGGACCTGGCGCTCTTCCGAGCGGCAGGGTGGGGGGTAAAAACAAATGTGATGGGTGAGGCGCGAGGACTGATGACTGATGATTTGATTTGTTTTTTGATGTGGGGTTTTTAGTTCTTTGTCTTTGTCGACACAAAAGTTGGGGAGGGCAGACACGAGGTCGAAATAATGGAGTAAGATGTGGGATGCGACTAAGGATGGATCATGGATGACGGTGGGTGGGCCAATACTACCCGCGGCGGCGGGCCAAGCGATTGACGTGTCTCGGAATGACGGTGCCAGTGCTCAGGTGAGGCGAATTGGCACGATTCCATGCCATGGGGTGTGGGATTGGGAGAAAAAAAACAATAGTTGAGAGAGTTACACACACTGGACATCAGGCGGGGGCGGGTAAAAGGTGCGGTGAGGAGGAGGAGGAGAATCTGGGAACCGGAGAAGAAAGAGCGGGAAAATCGGGGAGAGGTCGGAGCGGGCTGGCGGGCTCAGCGGCAAAAAGCAAGGGCACCAGCCTGGGCACTTGGGCGGAAGGCTGGCTATCCGGTCGATCCTCATCAGATAAGATTTTACCCGGCCGTGCGTGAGACGGCCCGTCACGTGCGCCAGAATGAGCCGATTTGTGAGACGACAATGGGCGAATGGGGTCAGCGATGGGCAGTTGCTCTCACAACCATGAGGTGATTCGGAGTTGCGGCTCCCGGCACTAGCGAGCGTTTTCTGCCCGTTTTGGCGTGTTCCTGGAAATTGCGCCCTCGACAATTGTCCCACCGCCTTCCGGTGTCGCCGCCCAGTCGCCAACAATAACAGCCCGCGCCTCGACTCCTTCTAGCTTTCCTTTCTCTCTTCTTTCTTCCCGTTGATCTGGTCCAAGACTCCCTCTGTCCCCACCAACCGCCCACCATGGATCTCGTCCTCGAGGGTCTCGACACGTACCTGTTCGACTACCTGTACGCCTTCGCCCTGCCCTCGCCTGTCGCGACAAATGCTGTCAAGGCCGCTTCGGTCAATGGCACCTACGCCGGCGGCATCCCCGAGATGCCCTCACCGCAGAACAGCTGGTCCTACGAGCCCGCCAGCACCTACCTGCAGTTCCAGCCGTCCGAGTATGCGTGGATGAGCCGCTGGGCGCGCGACAACATGTTCCGCCAGTTCACGTCGCTGTTCCTCATCACATGGTACGTATCCCAGCCCGGACCCGGCCCAATGGCTTTGGGTGGCGACTAACGCGGCGACGCTGTAGGCTCTTCGGCCTCCTCATCTACTTTGCCTGCGCGACGTTTTCGTACGTCTTCATCTTCGACAAGGCGACGTTTGCGCACCCCAAGTACCTGAAGAACCAGATCAAGCTGGAGATTGCGCAGACGATGCAGGCGCTGCCCGTCATGGCCGTCTTCACGGCGCCGTTGTTCCTGCTCGAGGTGCGCGGCTGGAGCAAGATGTACGACACGACAGAAGAAGGGCCGGGCATGTGGTACAACATACTGCAATTCCCCTTCTTTGTCGGCTTCACCGACTTCTGCATCTACTGGATCCACCGCTGGCTGCACAACCCGCTCATCTACAAGCACCTGCACAAGCCGCACCACAAGTGGATCATGCCGTCGCCGTACGCGTCGCACGCGTTCCACCCGCTCGACGGCTACGCCCAGTCGCTGCCCTACCACATATTCCCGTTCCTGTTCCCGCTGCAAAAGTTTGCGTACATATTCCTGTTCACGTTCATCAACGTGTGGACGGTCATGATCCACGACGGCGAGTACGTGGCCAACTCGCCCATCATCAACGGCGCCGCCTGCCACACGATGCACCACCTGTACTTCAACTACAACTACGGCCAGTTCACGACGCTGTGGGACCGCATGGGCGGCTCGTACCGCAAGCCCAACGACGAGCTCTTCAAGAAGGAGCTCAAGATGGCCCAGGAGCAGTGGGAGAAGCAGAGCAAGGAGATGGAGCAGATTGTCAAGGAGGTCGAGGGCGAGGACGACCGCAGCTACGGGCCCGCAGAGGGCTCCTCGGCCAAGAAGGTGCAATAAGGGCGTGCGTGCTGGCGTGCGCGCGCGCGCGCTCTGGGGGGTGGGTGCGGGTTGACCGGGGGGCATTGAGCCGCACTACTACTGCCGGCTGCTGCTGCCGTCGTCATCACTAGCTTGCCGATGATGCCGCCATATACCCACCCTCACCCTCCACCCCAATACCCACACACAGACACACATACCCTACCATACCCCTCAGGCACCGCACCTTGCCTCGGACCTTTTACGCACGCAGGCAGCTTGCATGCATTATATGTTTCCTTTTTCCGTTCACTACGACGTCTGTCTTCTGCTGGACAGATACGCGAGAGCAAGAGAGAGAGAGATGAGAGAGTGAGAGAGTGAGAGAGTGAGAGAAATGGGCTCTTGGATCTCAACTCTCAATTCTTTAGAGAGAGATGAGAGAGAGTCCCATGGCATGGCGATGGCATGGCATAGCAATGGCAATGGCATTTGTTATATGCCGCTGTTGCCGCTGTTGCCGCTGTCGCTGTCGTTGGTTGGTTGGTTGTACTTTACAAAAAGAAGCGCTTTAACTCCTATCTAATGCTATTATTATTATATTTATTGCTGTTGTTGTGTTGTTTATGTTTGTTCTTGGGGGTAGTGTGTTAAGAGAGAGGAGGGAGAGTAATGAACGTGTTTATAATAAGGCTAGAATTGTGCTGTGCGTTGGCTTAGTTAGAGATATATATACGCTACTCTCTCTCTCTCTCTCTCTCTTCCTTCTCTACTTTCTATCTTATTCCTTTCCCTCTCATTCTTCCTCTTTCTTTCCGTCCTTTACTCTCGTTCTTTCCGCCGTCTATTACGCTTAACTCTCTCCCCTACTCGAACCTTTCTAGCTCTTTCTTTCTACTATATATCTACCCGCCTACTCTTTCCCCCTTTCTTCGTTCCTTCCTCTTCTCTCCGCCTATCCACCTCTTCCGTTACCTTACTAAGAAATAAGAAAATTAGATCTAGGCTAGGAGTAGCATAGAATACACTAAAGTAATAGAGGGGAGAAGAGAGAATAGAGAGGTAAGTAAGCTTATCTAATTTAGAAGAACGGATAGTACGAGTATTACCTATCTACTAGTTTAATATCTGTATATATATATATAAACCGGCTTAAGTTATTAGGAACGATTAACCTATCTAAGCGTAGATAGCTATATTATATCATATTATACCGTAGTACTACTTACTTACTAACCCAACTAACCCATCTATCCCATCCTATCCCAACCTCACCCCCACGTCGATATCGATATTAACATCAACCTCAACCTCAACCGCACGTAACTTGCCTTACCCTAGCCAACCTACTTACTCACTTAAGCCTCACAAACACACACACACACACGCACACACACACACACATACACGCACGCACACAAGAAGAATCGAAGAAGAAAGAATCAAATAATTACCTCCCTACGACTACCCACTCACCTACCAACCTACCAACCCACCTACCCACCAGCACAAACCGACCACCACACACCACGCCGCACCAGCACAAACCCCCTCTTCACTTCACTATTTTGACCGCTTTAATAACCCTCCTTACTATTACTTCCCACTCACTCCCAACGACAATAACAACGACAACAACAGTCACGTCCATCTCATTAGCTCATCCACATCCACATCAACTTTCACATCCACAAGCACAGCCATCGTCGCGAACAACAACAACAACAACAACAACAACAACAACAACAACAACAACAACAGGGCAAGCACCAGCGAAAAAAGAAAGAAAAAAGATAACAAGAAAGCAGCAGCAGCAGGCGGAGAGGAAGAGGGAAAAAGGAGAAGAAGCAACAGCAGCAACAGCAACAACTCAAGAACCCGTAACCCAGAGTCAGAGGCAAAAAGAAAAGACTTTCGACATATAACAACAGCCACTGCACCAACAACAACTACATCCGTCATCGTCGCCGCCGCAACCAACCACTCAACCCCTCAATCAATCAATCAATCCCGTCTATCATCCGATCCGATCCGCTCCGATCCCATCGCCCTCCCGTCCCTCTTCCCTCGCCCGTCCGCTCCTTTTCGTACCAATTCCATACCATACCATACCTAGTCATTTGAATTGTGTCTTTGTTGTCGGCACCATGGCCTGAGCTGTGCCGACACCTACCCGCCGGACCAGCTCGGCCCGCCTCGATGTGAGAGCTTGCTTTACCCGATCCGGCCCTTCCCGTCATCCGTTTCATGTCATCCAGCGTGTGTGTGAGAGTGCCGCGAGCGAGCAGAGAGAAAAAAACAGTGGCGTTGCGGACGGCTTCTCGGAAACATGCCCTTCCATGCCAGAGAGTGTCTCGCCTCTACACGCTTACTGCGGTCCGCGGTACGGCTCGTAGCTGTAGATGAGAAAATTGAGTCAGCTGACGTTCTTTGCCACCGATCATGTCGCTTAACCCGAAACAAAAGTGCGAAAAACAGAAAACAGTGCTGAGGCACAGCAGACGTGGGTTGCTGCAAGACACGCAGGACATTCGGCGCAGTGTGACGCGTCGCGTACGAAAGCGTGGAGACGAATGGTGGGCTGGCCAACGACAGTGGGGCAGGCCAGATGGGGAAGGTGATCGATGAGAGAGAGCGCCAAGAAATGATGCGAGCGCCACAAACAGCCTTGCAGGCGCTCGCGGAAAGGGGCCCATGCCGGATGACGCAGGTGAAGATCATGACTGAATGCATGACAGGGGGAAAATATTTTGCGCTGTCCCGCATGCGTTGCGCAAGGGATCGCGGAACGTGGCTCGGCAACAACGGGCAAGTGTGACAGACTCAGTCGGGGGAAAATTGCACGTACCTCCAGATTCTTGCGCGCATATCGCCGGAGCCGGTAGCGAAAAGAGTACCCATGGGGCTGGGAGCGACGGAAATAACTGCAAGGAAGATTGTCAGTCACGGTGAAGCCGAGACGGCAATTTGCACAACTTACCCGAGTTCTTGTGACCCTGCAACATGAGCTGGGCGATACCAGTGGCAGGGTCCCAGAACTGCACGCCTCTGTCCTTGGAGCCGGAGAGCACCCATTGGCCGTCGGGCGTAAGGGCCACACTGAGAACAAAGTCCTGCATTAGACGTTAGCCGTGTCACTCAAACCCATGCATCTTACCCCGCGGCAAAATGTGCGCTTACCTTGTGGCCTTCGAACGTCCTGATGCACTTGCCGCCCTTGGGGCCAGTGCCAGGAATGCTGCGCGGAGGCGTCGACAACTCCCACATCTTGATGGTTTTGTCCAGAGAACCAGAGACAAGGTCGCGGCCGTTGGGCGAGAAGGCGACAGAGTAAACGCTGTCCTTGTGGCCAACGTCTCCCTCCAGGCGCTCGACCAGGTAGCCACTGGTGGTGTCCCAGACGCGGACGCTCTTGTCGAGAGAGCCAGCAGCAACGAAGCGGTTGTCAGGGGAAATGGCTACGGTAGTAACGCCATCCTCGATTGAAAGCTGCAGAACCTGTTGGTTCGACGTGATGTCCCACAGACGGACCGTGCGGTCACCACTGCCAGAAGCGATGAGACGACCGTTGCGAGCAAAGTCCAGGGAGTAAATGTCCTGGTCATGTCCGGAGAACTGGTGCCTGATGGTGCGGGCTTCGATATCCCAAACCTGGCTGAAGTTAGATCAACGAACTCTCAATATCAAGGCGCAGCCATTAGCCGGCTGAATCATGAACAACTTACCCTGATGATCTTGTCCTCGGCACCCGTGGCAAGGTACTTGCCGTCGGGACTGAAACAGACGCTGCGGATGTAAAGGTCGCCCTCCTCGGTGAGCGAGCCGTCCTGGAGGTGAGCCCGCAGCTGACCCGTCTGGACATCGAAGATCTGGGCCGAACGGTTGCAGCCAGTGGCAATGTAACGGCCGTCGTGGCTGAAACGAACACAGCAGACGACACTCTGGTGAGGAAGCGTGTGGACCAGGTTGACATCCAAGGTGCGGCGGACGCGCGGGTTGAAAATGGCAAACCAGTCTGGGCCTTCCCGCTTGAAGTTGTCGGGCACGTGCTCAACGTCGAGATCCGCAAGGTTGTTGCCAACGTTAGGAGCAGTCGCGGCAAGGGCCGCAGCGGGCTCGTGCAGCTGGCCAGGCGGGGGCGTGGGGCGCGGAACCTGAGGGGAGCCAGGGTAAGGTGCGGCCGAGTTCTGCTGAGGAGTCGGGGGTCCAGGGGGGCCGCGGCCAGGCCTAGGTTTTCCAGGACCAGGAGAAGCAGTGGGCTGTGGTGCCTGCGGGCCATAGCCTAGGTGATCGAGTTAGTGAATGGCACTGGAAGTGAGCGTACGAGGTCTGGACAGCGATGCCTTCGCGATCGGCGCGAGACACTTGCCAGCCGCTAAAGTGATCGAGACTATCGAACGGGGTTCTCACGGCGATCCGCATATGGATTCGGAGGGATCTGCCTACCATTGACACCAGCGGGGCCTGGGTAGGCACCACCAAAAGAGGGGTGCGATGGTGGGCCGGGGGCGGGGTTGAGGCCGGGAGGACCCGGAGGCGCGCCATGAGCGGGGAGAGCCTGAGGTTGAGCAGCCTCCTGCGGAGGGGGAGCCAGACCCGGTCCTTGTGCGCCTGCGCCCGCCATTATACCGCCGAACAAAGTGCCCTGGCCGTGACCGATGGTTGGCGGCTGAGGCTGGCTCGGACCGCCGTGCTGCGAGCCGGCAACATGGGCAGTGTGAGTCGGGCCTCCGGCGGCTTCAAGCTGTCTCTGCAGGCGCGCCAGTTCATCCTCGTACCTGGAGATGATCGTCAGTCCGCGATCCTCTGCGCGTGTTGCGTCAGACGTACTTTTGCTTCATGGAGAGTTGCGTCTGTTCCAATTGGTATATTTTGGTGCGCACCAGATCCATCTCCTGGAGCTGGGTACTGACTAGATGGACAGGATTCGTGTCAGTGACAAAAGTATGGGGAACAGTCAAGTCGAAGTACGTCGTGGTCTACACGCAACGAGACGCGCGAGCAGCAGATGCCAGGTGTTACGATCGGCTTCAAACTCGCAGCAGCCTCGGGTCAAACAGGGCATTTTGCGCGAACAAACGCGCTTGGAGTTGCATGCAGAGGGCCATGACGATTGCTTAGACAAAAAGGAGCGAAAGCAAACTCACGTTGACGCTCATACTCGCCGGCGCGGCCAGCTTCGTTCTCAAACTCCTGGCGAATCTGGTCAAGCAGGTCCTGCAGACGGTTGTTTGGCCCGCCGGGCACCATGCCACGGTGAGCGTTGTACATGCTGGGCGGGCAACGTCCGGCACGCGCGGATAGACGGAAGGGTGCGCGCTGCTAGTTGCGGGGGAAACGGGCGGCAGGGCTCAATTGAGCGGCGCTGAGGGTGAGGTTGGGCGAGGGCGACGCGACAGATGGGAGCGACTCGATCGGGGCACAGTCGCGCGGCAGGGCTGAAGGGTCGAGGCGCGTATGGAGCGGGCGGGAGCTCAGCCGACTCGCGTGGTGGCCTCGGACGACGGAGCAGCTGGGGCTGGCTCGGCTGCGATGGGGGCCAGAGCTGTGGCGGTGGCGGAGATGATGGAGTGGATGGTTGTTGTGGAGGAGATGGGTGGGTGAGGTGGTGTGTCGCGGTGGTGCTGCGCAGGAGAAGAAGCGCCAGCAGAGGCTGGAGGGAAAGCAGCAACAGCCAAGCGCGATACGCCCGCGCAAGTGCCCACGGTGCCCCCGGCCGCCTGAAGCGAACCGAGCCAAGTGGGCCCCCAAAAAGCATGCTGACCTAGACCGGCCCGGGCATAGCTCCCGCGCACCAGGCGCGATGCGGCAAGCCAGGCGAGCGGGAGTGCGCTAGCCGCTTCGGGCGTCGCGGGTCAATCGGAGGCAACGACGACCAGGCTCCATGCCGCCTTCCAGATTTATGCGCAGCCAGCAACGCCAGATGCCAGATGGGCTTGGCGACACACAGAAACACTGTACCTACAACACGATGCACCATGCCGCGACACCGCCTTTCACCCTGCCACACGCCACCCATTCAACATCGACATCGACATCGATCCATCATCATATGGACATCAACTAGGAACATGCCTGGCCGCACCGCACCGCTGCTGCTGCTAGTCGTCGTGAGTCGGGCAAGTGATGTGCGGCTACGCTGCTGAGCCGCTGTGGTACAGGGCAGGAATGCGCTGTGAGGGCCCTTTGTCCTGTGACCCTCGGAAGGCCGGGTAGCGTGCTGGACCCCCTACCGACGTCATGGTTACTGGTCGGCGCCTCGCAGCCGCTGTTAAAAAGTGTCCGACGCTGATCCCACTCAGACTGCTCCATGTGTTTACGAGCATTCTCGTCGCATTTGCGCACAACCCCAGCTTCCATCACGCGCCGATCACCGCTCATCTCTCAGCCCCGTGGGGTGACTGAGTCCGCCCCGGCGGTCACACCGACTCGGCCGTTGCCAACTTTTGATCTACTTGGTGCACGAGCAATACCAGCCCAGTTGCCTCTTGCTTTAAAACCCCTCTGAGAGCTCAGTGTACCTCTTGCCATCCCCAGCCCAACACCTATTTCCATTGATTCCCATAATCACTTGCTACAATGCCGGGCAACACGCTTCACCCGACAGACAATGTGCCTTCCCACAGGCCCCATGTTCGCCGCGGAACTTGGTCTGCGGGCGACATTCTACCTCATCATCTGCGCCAGAAGACGCGCCATGATTTCCAGGCCCAGGGCTCGTCCAAGCACCTGCAGTTGCTTGAGAAAGCCAAAGAGGAGGGCGATTTTGGCGTGGCGTTGAACGTATGTCACCGAGTGGCACTCAACTGTGTGTGATGTCACAGCTGACAACAAGTGGTCATAGACTCTCTACATTGGTCTCGCAGCAAAGGACGAGCCCAATGGCCTCGTCGAAGTCGGCTTCGCCTCTCACGATGGCACTTACAGCATCGACTTTGCCGTGCAGGTGCTCGGCGGCGACCGTCGCACAGAGAGCAATGGCGTCTCCAGTAGTGGTGTGTCCAGCGGCATTTCCAGCGGCGTCAGCACCCCCGGTCGCTCGCCGAGCCCATCGCGCCCCATCAAGGAAGGCGAGAAGTCTGCCCTCTTGGCAGATTACTTCATCGGACGCATTGAATCATACCAACAAGAACACATGTACAAGTTTGTTGGGGCTGGTCTTTCAACGCGGGTGGTGGAGCTGAGCCCAGAGCTCCCTTCGCGCTTGTGGTGGGAGCTTGACATCGTCCCGATGGTGTTTGAACAGGGATTGGAAGACCCGAGAGGGCAGTCTGACGTTGGCCCCGTCGCTGTCGACGAACTCGCCGATTCTATGGCCAGGAAGTGCTTGATGTTCTTCGGCCCCAACTTGCAACCTAGGGTTCAAGTCGGTTACAAGAACGTGGTTGAGGTCGACTGCAGGGGCCATGCCCAGATTACTCGCTTCGACCAATACCCAGAGACCGTGGGAGGGCGGACCTGGGAGGCCACCATGAAGTATGTCGCGTCACTGAAGAAGAACAACACCAAGATTGCCTTCTTCAACAGCACGCCTCAGGGAGGTGGAGTCGCCCTCATGCGCCATGCCCTCATCCGGTTCCTCAGTCTTGCTGGTGTCAACTGCGATTGGTACGTTCCGAAGCCGAAGCCCGAGGTATTCCGGATCACCAAGACAAACCACAACATCCTGCAGGGTGTCGCAGACCCTAAAGAACGTCTCACTAAGCACCAAATTGAGGTTCTGGACGAGTGGTGCCAACAGAATGCCGATCGTTTCTGGAGCAACCAGAACGGACCCCTTGCGCCTCGTTCCCAGGGTGGTGCCGACGTCATCATTGTCGACGACCCGCAGATGCCGGCGCTCGTCGAGATTGCCAAGAAGATCGATCCGGACCGCCCGGTCATTTTCCGCAGCCACATCCAGGTGCGGTCCGACTTAGCCAACCAGCCCGGTACGCCGACGGCCGACGTCTGGAACTGGGTCTATAACCACGTCAAGAATGCCGACCTTTTCATCAGTCATCCGGTCAAGGCCTTCGTGCCCAACAACGTCGACTTCAAGAAAGTCGGCTACCTTCCTGCGACGACCGATTGGCTCGACGGCCTCAACAAGGACATGAGCCACTTCATCATGCAGTATTACTTCCATGAGCTCGCATCCGAGGCCTTCCGGCAGCGCACCAACCGTCTCCAATTCCCCAAGCGCGAGTACATTGTGCAGATTGCGCGCTTCGACCCTGCAAAGGGTATTCCGGACGTGCTGGCCTCGTATGCCGAGCTGCGCCGCAACTACATGAAGGATGTGCCACGGGAGAAAACGCCACAACTTGTCATCGCCGGCCACGGCGCCGTCGACGACCCTGATGGCTCCCTCATCCTTGACCAAACGCTCTCGCAGCTCGAAGAGAAGTACTCAGACATCTACCCTGATGTCGTAGTCATGCGTCTTGGCCCAACGGACCAGCTCCTCAACGCTCTCATGTCGAACGCGAAAGTGGCACTGCAGCTCTCCACACGCGAGGGCTTCGAAGTCAAGGTCTCAGAAGCAGTGCACAAGGGCATTCCGATCATCGCGACACTGGCGGGTGGCATTCCCCTGCAAGTCGAAGACGGAAAGAGCGGCTTCCTGGTCAAGCCAGGCGACTACCGCGCCGTGGCGAAGCACATGGCGGACCTGTTCCGCGACCAGAAGATGTACGAGCGCATGAGCCAGTACGCAGCCACGCACGTGTCGGACGAGGTCAGCACGGTGGGCAACGCCCTCAGCTGGCTGTACATGGCGGATGCGCTTACCACGGGCGAGGTGCTCAGCCCGGACAGCCGCTGGATCAACGATATGGCGCGCGAGAAGGCGGGATTGCCATACGTGGATGGCGAGCCCAGACTGCCGAGGGGTGGCCTTAACTTACACGAGTAGGTGAGTGAGTTGGTGACGAGTGCGTGGCGTGAGGGAGGTGGGTGTGCTGTACGGATATTAGGATGGTGGGAAGGCGACACCAAGTGGGTGAAGTGAAGAAACGGGCTTTATGATTTTTATGAACGACGAAGAACAACGAAAACGACTACTACGACAGCAGGGCGACTCGGATGGACGGACAGTGTGATGATAGATAAGATCTTCTCTCACTCTTTTTCTTTTTTTCTCTTTCGATTTTTTCTGTTTTGCTCTTACTTTCTTTTATTCTACAGTTTGCTTCCATCCAGTCGGCACTTGCTTCGTCCTGCTCTACAAACTCGGCTCTCAATTTGTGTGCGTTCGTGCGTGAGTATCCAACACGATATATATGTACGACGGCGGACGGCGTAGGTCCTGCGCGTTGGTTTCTTCTCGGCTTCTTGCTCATGGCTTCTGGCTTCTTAGGTTCTGGCTTCTCTCGGGCTTTGAAGTGTTTTGCTATTTACTGCAACTTTTGGCTTCTACTTTGATCGAGGTGGGCAGTAGATATACATAAAGAAGACGTCGGGTCGCGTCATGAGATGGATAGCTTCCTGAAGATTAAAAATAAAGACAGATCTATACTTTACTCCTCCTTCCCTCCAGAGTTTCGACACCTTGCTCTCACGGTGCCTTGTGAGCGCTCATCTCCTGTTTGTGCGTTTTGTGCTGTGTCGTGCTGTGCTGTAGTTATGATGCAAGAACTGCGATACCTGGTGGCATCGCTGCGCGCTAGGGTTTGTGTGCTGTGTGCTGTCCTTAGCTACATAGCACTTGGGCACAACATTTAGGTACAGCACTTAGTTAGGCACAGCACTTAGGCACAGCACCTAGATACAGATACAGGCACACAACCCCTAACCACCAACCACAGCCTAGCTGGCACCATAATCGCCCAGCCGCGATTCGCTGCCTCCCTCCCGCACGAAAAATCCCCGTCACATAAACCCTCAATAGACACGCGCGCTTCTCTACCTTAGTTACTCTTACTCTACATACATACATACATACATACATACATACATACATACATACATACATACATACATACATACATACATACATACATACATACATACATACATACATACATACATACATACATACATAATACATAACACACACAGCACGAAGCACAAAGCACCACCCCGCAGCCGCCGTTTCTAGCGCACGCACGCACGCACAGCACCGCCTGCACGCAGCCACAGCGCACAGCGCGACGTGTTCGCGAGCGCATCCGCCTTTCTTTCTACTCCTACCGCTACGCCGAGCCATCGCCTGCATTGGCTCTAGAGTAGACTAGACGCGCTCGTACCTATGTACACAGACGTTTACACGAACAGACTTAACTAGACTAGACTGGGCTGGGCTAGGCACGGTACGGTACGATGCGGTGTATGCGGTGTATGCGGTGTATGCGGTGCGATTTTGCTATCTGTCTGCGCGCGTGCAGTAGAGCGCGGGTGGGTGGGTGGGTTGACTTGGTGGGAGGGCTTGTGCAGTAGCGTGGCGCTGCTACTGTACTGCTGGCTACCTAGTGGGCCTGCTGGTGGCGCGGCGTGTGTGTGCTGTGCTGTGGTAGGTGTTTTACTATGGATGCTTTTGAGCTGGTGCCTAGCTGACGGGGGAGGGACTGAGAAATTGTACCTACTTGCGTGCGTGCGTGTGTGTGAGAGATACTGCGTAGGAGTAGTTGCTTGTCTGTCTGAGATAGTTACTCAGGAGTATATGTTTCTGCGTGTTCGTCCTGGAATGTGTACGCGATGCTCTCTCTACGTTGTTCGTGAGCGCAGAGCTCGGTAGAGACGCTTGCGTGTTTTAGGGAATCCCGACAGGGTCTACTTGGTGAAGGGAACGTGACAGTGGATAGGTAGGCAGCTACCTGCGAGTGCTTGCTCTCTTTTAGGGGCTCCCTAACTGGGTTTTCGGTCGCTGTCTGCTTACACTGTTCATCGTTTCTGCTCCTGGTATGGCGAAAGTATATACTGAAGCCGCATGGCAGGTGTCCAGTCAAAGTTTAGATTTACCCTGCGGAGTCTCTCGATGCCCAATCAGATTTTTCTATTCACTGCGCAGCGTTTAGGATTGCAGCGGGAGACGTCCATTGTAGAGCTAGCGCCGAGCAGAGGGAGATCAGCGGTTGGTGCGAATGGGAACCGTGAAGTGTCTGTCTCGCATCAACAAGAAAAGGAGATAGACAAGGTCGTTTCCAAAAGAATCCGATTCTTAAAAAGAGTAGGACTTGCAGCACAAGCGAACAGAACCGATCGACTACTGTACCGAAAGCTGCGTTGCGTTACCGCCAGACAAAAAACTCCGCCTATATCTCTTTTCCTAAGAGCCCGATATGCTGTACAATCATAACACACCCTTCCCAACCGAACCCACAAAGCAGCAAGGCCGCTGGCTGTGTAGCAACTTATTCTCTCTCAAAACCTCAGGGCAATGCTGCTTGATCTACTCTTTCGACATGTCGCCCGAGGGCCGCCACTTGTCCTCGCCCTTCAACAGCTTCCGCGCCTGCTCGGCAAGCGTCTTCTTATCAGCGGGGCCCTTGTACAGGTTCTCTGGGCGCATGGACTCCTGGTGCTGGTCATTGTGCTTCTGCGCGGCGGAGTAGAGATCCTTATCCCAGCTGCAACCACAACCTCGTTAGCCACTTTGCAAGTCGACACCCAAACAAGGAGAAAAAGAAGAAGGAGCACGTACGGAGTAAAGTCCTCGGGCTGCTCCGGCCACACAAACGGCTTGTCCATCTCAACCGTCATCTTCTTGATCGCCTTGGCGCGGAACCAGCGGCGCGGCATCGGGCGCAGCCGGCTCGGGTCGTCCTGCCGCAGCTTCTGCTGCTGCACAAACGAGCGGATCCGCGTCGCGTTGACCCCGTACGCGTGCCACAGGTAGTCCCTCAAGTCGAGCTTGTTGAGGTTCAGCGGCACCAGGAACTTGGCGAACGTCGGCGGGAGGAAGGGCGTGCGCAGGAGGGTCAGCGTGAAGTCGGGCCTGAGAATAGCGGAGGTTAGCGGAGTTGCGCTGGGCTGGTTATGCGCGCCGCGAAGATGCTGTTGCTGTCGCTGTCGCTGGTGGTGGTGGTGATGGTGGCGCCTGATGCCGGCGGCCTGCTGATACGTACAGGAAAACTGCCTTCTTGCCCACTCGGAAGGGCGCGCGCACTTTGGATGCCATTGCGTATGATTTGGGGCGTGGATTGCGCGGGTCCAATGTCTGGTGTTGCGCATCGAAAGCGACTTGAGGTTTTGGGCGGGATCTTCCGTCCTCCGAGACGGCGTCTCCAGCCGACGTCAACTCCGCACCTTCACTCCGCCTTTGAGCTTGAGTCTCTTGTGTAGGAGTGCCAACCCGAGATGCTTATGTGCGATATTGCATTTACGTAGGTCTATGGACAGGACATAGAGCTGCCCTATGCATAGATTCCGAATACGGCCAAAGCTGGGTTTCCTAGGTATGAGAGCTCTATCCTACGATACGGACCATAATTCCGGCATTATATAGGCACTGAGCTGGAATCGTGCGTGGATTCAAGAGAAGAACCCCTGGGCAAGTCTAGAAAGAGCGCTGGTGTGAGAAAAGACACCCACAACCCACCAACTCCATCCCATCATGGCGACAGAAGAACCACACACCGTCCAGCCCACCAGCAAACACACACACACGATAATCCTCCTCCACGGCCGCGACAGCACCGCCGCCACATTCGCGTCCGAGTTCTTCGAAAGCCAGGCCTCCGACTCGCGCTTCCTGCCCGCCATCTTCCCATCCATCAAATGGGTCTTCCCCGCCACGACGCCCAAGTTCTCCGCCCGCTTTAAGACGGATCTCTCCCAATGGTTCGACATGTGGACGACGTCGGACCCCGAGGAACGCAAGGCGCTGCAAGCCGCGGGGCTGAAGGAGAGCGTTTCGGCCATTTCCCAGCTTCTGCGCGACGAGATGCGCGCACTCCCTGCCGCGCGCATCTTCCTCGCAGGCATCAGCCAGGGCTGCGCCGTCGCTGTGCACACTCTGTTCGGCTGCGAGGTGCGGCTTGCAGGCCTCTTGGGGTTCTGCGGCTGGCTGCCCTTTCAGGCCGACGTTGAGCTGATCACGCAAGCGAATCTCGCGAGACAGCAAGCGCTCGAGCAAGTGCGCAATGTCTTTGATCCTGCGCCGGGTGGTGTTGCTGGCTTGGCTGCGATGGAGACGCCGGTTTTCCTGGCTCATGCGCGCGATGATGAGGTGGTTCCGGTGCGGAATGGCAGGCTTTTGGCGGAGAGCCTTGGGGCGCTGGGGATGGCTGTGGAGTGGAAAGAGTATGAGGACGGCGGACACTGGCTTAGCGAACCGGGGGGCATTGACGATGTGGTTGCATTTATCGGTGCTAATATGTATACTTGACTCCAAGCTCTCGAGAGCGCGCTCACACCCATGTCTATCCACTCACAGCTCTTCTCATTTGCGAGGTCCGCCCTCAAATCATGTCCGGGCACCACGGAAAGAAGAGGGTTGTTATCACACCCAGGAGCAAATGGTTCCGGATGATCCATACCTCACCTTCTTTGAGCCATTTCACCCAGCCGTAACATCCCGCCAACCTCCTCTAGAACACGCACCCGCACCAGCCACCAGCGACCACCACCCCCAGCAACCCGCATTCCAACCGCAAGCCAAGCATCCAAGCCCACGCGAGTCGCACAAGCCGATCAGGCCACAAGTCAGCGTCACGAACATCACCAGAGAAGAGAGCCACGGTACCCCCTCTCACGCATCCAAACAACCGTAGCACAAAGTGCTCTTCGCAGCAATTCCACTGACAGCGTCTTCACGGTTCGTGCAACAGTCCCAACCAGGCAGCTCCTAGGGCGTGTCAGCAAGCGTCTCCTTGCCGCTTCCGGCTAGCGCTGAGATCAGTTCCAGCTCCAACAACTCAAATCCACGCCGCGGCTTACGCTTAGCCACGCCGGTCCGACGCGCCTTCGTATGCTTTCTGCGCCGGCGTGACGCCTCGTATCCGTGACGAGACGTCGGCTGGTGCAACGTGCTCGACCATGGGATAGATATATAAACAGCGAACTGGGAGGGAGGAGAAAGGAAAGGAAACATTTACTCACCACCAACAACACAACAGCACAACAACACCCACCACTCCCCACGCAAACAATGCAGCTCACCACCACCACCCTCCTCAGTGCCCTCGCGCTCCTCTCCACCAGCCCCGCCCGCGCCGCCACTCTCGAAGTGACGGGCATCTCGCTCACGGCGCCGAACCTGGCAGCCGCGCCTATGACCACCATGGCGCTGTTCTCGCTCGGCGTGCACGAGCCGACCAACTCTGCTAGTCCCGAGGAGGCCAGCTGCAGCGCCTACTGGGACTACCGCTGGATCCAATACCCCATGTACTGGGTACGTACTTACGCTGCTTGCACCTGCCTCCATATATACAACCCTACATACACACGCACGCACACTTGCTGAACACACACCTGCTTGCTTGCATTACAGAAAGACTGCACACCGAGCTCCTACCAGTACTATTTCTCGCGCTTCTCGAGCTACGACAACTTCGAGCTGACAGTCAAGCACGCCTGGGACGAGACGAACGCGTACGTACCTAGCCCTGCCCTTCTCCCCATCCCCCTTTCCCATTTCCCATTTCCCCGCCCCCCTTCCCCATTCCCCACCAACCCACAAACAACCCACAAACAAACAACACGCACTAACCCCCCTCCCACCCCCAACAGCACCGGAACCTTCCACCACGAGCGCTCCGCCCGCGGCGCCATCACAGGCAACAACGGCGAGTGCGTCCAAGGCAGCGGCGCCATGTACAGCTGTAACTGGGACGCCGTGACGCTGGACGTGTATAACGACATTGTCACGGCTGCTTAGGTAATGGGTCAGGGATTGATAGGATAGGTCCTGCGTTTCTGATGGTGGTGCTTTTGGGAGGCGAATATTGGTCTTGTTCTGTATGACTGGAGATGTAAGGTCGGTGCTTGGTGGAGCGGCTTGTAGGTAGTAGGCAAATGAATTCGAGACACCTTGTTTTTTGTTTTTCGTCGTTGTTTTGGGGGAAATGTATCGTTGGTCGTCTTTTGAGATAGCCGTTACCGGAGATGAGAAGCTTCACAAGCTTTCGCCCCTGAGTAGGTAGGAAATAATATAGAATACGACGGGATTAGCCCTCATCGAGGTCCTGTTGGTCTGTAATAGAAAATGAGATTGGCAACGGTGTGAGTGGCAGACAGAGAACCATGTACTTTACCACATCATATCGTCATCTTCATTCCGCCCCAGGATCTTGCCAACAATCCATTGGGGATCCATTCTATAGACAGCGACCTAGGAGCATTGCTTCCCCCATCATCGTCTACAGACGCCAATATCAGGGACAGCGAAGAAGCAACGCAAATGACAAAAGGCTGGATATTTCTAGTTGATCCCCCATGCAATGTCCTCCAGTCCTGGTATCTTGATGGCTCGGAAGTAAGAAAGCCAAGCCGGCTTATCGGCATGAGCTAAAGTCGGAAAAGGTCGGAAAAGAAGCCCAGATGCGAATCAATCGATCCCCTTAGCAAACGCCAGTTTTTGCTCCTTCCCGTTCCGTGACCATCAACCATGTATTCCCGTTGCCTGTGTGAAAGGTGTAAAAAACGACTTAACACCGCGCTGTGCCGTTTGCAAAAAAGACAATCGAAGAGAAATCGTGCAGCTTCTAAAAAGAGGGGCGTAGCATGGCCCAGAAAGTGGTTGTCTCGCACGCAAGAGTCGCGGTTCAGAGAAGTTGACAGGTCTATCTTGTGTGCAAAAGTGTTGTGAGCTGAAGGTGTCAAAAGGTGCAAGCTGCTTCAAGGCGACCGATAATCCGGAAAAGGATACGGAGGCCGATAGCCGCCGTCCATTGACTGCCTTGACCTAGGGTTAACCGGTGGACCTAAAGGATTCGGTGCACGATTAGCACCATGTTCAGGGAGACGGAACGGAGACAAAGGAGCCGTGGGCCGCGAGTATGCGCTACTCGGATGAGGCATAACAAGCGGACGGAAGGGACGGGGAGCGGAATCGGGTAAGCTATTGGGAGTATTATAAGCTTGCCTCTTTGCTGGACGAGGGGGCTCGTCATCGTCGCTCAAGGTCAAGTCAATGACTTCAGATTTCCGCTTGCTGCGCGAGTTGGTGGCTGGCGCGGCGGCCGCTGACTGTTCGCGCGAGGAGCCTGGCGGGGTGTGTGCGCCAGAGACTGGGGTCTGTGACTGCTCCTGCTTCAGGTTTGCGACCCGATAGTCCGAGATCTCCACCAGATCATCGTCGTCGCTATCGTCACCAGCACCGTTGTCGCTCGTGCCGTTCCGTGTCTGAGATTCCACGCGATCGCCCGGAGTCCATTTACCATCCGGTTCGATGGTTACCTTCTCGACCGATGACGAGGTCTTTTGAAGTATGTCTTGGACGTACTGATCGACGGCCAGGGCTTCATATGAAATCGTCTTATTGCAGCACGGACACTGCCAAGTGGGCGCTTGCTCTTGCAGTTGGAGGAAGAAAGTCGCATCGAAGCATTGGTTGTGCGTGCACACCGATGACCTGCACGGCAGGGATATCCGGACATAAGATACGGGGTCCTTTAGAGACATGACCGAGCTGCCGACGACGATGTCATCGTCATTTGCTCTGCTAGCCACTGTGGCAAATGGATTAGCCCTATTAACTGAGCGAAACAAACGTACTTACTCTCGGCGAGAACGCTTTCTTTGGTGAGCACTCTGCGTCCGCTGATGCGCATGGCTAGCTCCTCTACAGAGTGCTTCCGGACGAGGTTCACGACGAAAATGTACTTCTATAATGGAGTTAGCACACTAACCGTTACCGGAGCTAGTGAATTTTATGGAGTTGACAACAAGCCGTCAGGCATGTTATACGGTGTGGTAAAATTAAGGAAATTTCTACCCTTGCCTTCTGCGTCAACGCGTACGTGACCTGGATGATGTTTTTGTAGTTTGCAATTTTACGAATGGGATCGGTGATATCCGCGGGTCGAGTCGAGCCAGGCTTGTTTTTCAGGCCCTTGAAGTTTGACTTGACTTCCTCTCCATTGAGCTTCACTTCAAGTTGAGAAGGAAACGCGATGTCGGCACGCGCATATGGCCCAAGCAGAGGGTCCGCGGCCGAGAACAGCATTACGCGCAGGCCGGGGTCGCTTCTCAAGAGCTCGGCATGTTCCTGGGAGAGAACAAAGCTGGACTGGGTGCTGCTACGATTGCTCGGAAGTACTGCGGAAGGTCAATTAGCCAAAGGGGCCCACGCAGAATCGCATGAGCGGCCTGCAAAACTTACTCTGAAGCTCAATGGTTGGAGCTATGCATTCCAAGATCTCGTAGAATGGGCTATCCTTGAATTGAAAGCGCTCTGTGACCTGCTCAGTATTTCGAATAAAATGTTCCGGGGGGGGCCTTGGGACGTACGCGGAAACAAAGGCTGGCGCGGGCGCGAAGGCATGGCGTATGCTTGGTTTGGGTGCGGGCCCGGTGCCAGGCCCGTTGGGGCGGAGACTGGAGACGCAGAATCAGGGTAGGCCGAGACGGGCGCCGGAGCGAGTTGACGTGGAGGCGATGCGCCCTTGTTGTGGATTCGAGCTATGACACCATCAAGTCGGGCGGCGTCACGGTTGTGAACCAGGTGCGAGAGGTCTGCACGCGAGAGGAAGAAGGTGTTAGCGGAGGCGGTAGAGCGAGGGAGCGAGAGGGTGCTGGAAGGAAAGCTCACGGGTGATAATGCGGTCTTGCAGCGCAGCTTTCACTCCAGAGACCTGAAGACCCTCAGCCTTGCATATGGCCTTGAGGTCATTATTGATCAGCTGCTTCAGCTGGGGTTGCACAGCGAGGGCGCGCTGGTGTAGACTCTCACCCGCGGAGGCCATGGCTTGTCGCTCGCGCGGGCTCGACGGAGCAGGGTCAGACGCGGGCGAAATGGAGGCGAGATTTCGAGCGGGGCGGGGCGAGGAAGGGTCGGGTCGGGTCGGGCAGAGACATGGAAGGAGGAAGGTTGGGGCGGCGGAGAGAAGGCGGGGGGAGGAGGAAGTTGGGGCATGCTGGACAAGTAGGTGGTGAAGGAGGTTCTCTCTGGTCGTAGTTGCCCGTTCGGATACCTAAGCTTTTTTTTTGAATTTGTTTTTTTCTATTTTGTTTTTTCTTATTTTCCCACTTATGCACTCCGAAAAGGCCCTGCATCTGCGTCCAACCATGTGTGCCGCTCACCGTCGCTGCGTAACGCTGCTTTTGCACCTTTTTGCCTCTTGCGCGCGGCGCGCTCTCGTCGCGCTCGAGGTCCGTAATCGATATCGGCCGCGCCAAGCCTGATGTCAAAATTCTGGTCACCGCCCGCCAGTCCGCTCGCCACAAGCCCTCCCGACCGACAACTTTCTTCCTCCCCCTCCACATTCGACTTTCTCTTCCCTCACACACACACACTTACACACACCGTCAAAATGGCAAAGAGCTCGCGTTCCAGCATCAAAAAGACCAACAACAAGAACCTCAAGACCCGCGTCTTCGGCCCCGTCGAAAATGACCGCACCGAGCGCCTGTCGCAAAAGCTCCTCGAGCTCGCCCAGCAACCGCGTCCCGCAAAGTCCGAGATGGAGGTAGAGAAAGACGGTGCGCTTCACTTCACCTCGCCTCGCGCCCCGCCGCAGCCCACTAACACCATCGCAGAAGCCGCTGCCGAAGCACAGCCCGACGCGCAGGCCGATAACTCTGAAGGTTTGTCACCCTGTCTCTCTTGGCCCATCCCACCCTCCCTCGGGGCGTCGGACAAGAAAGAGCAGAAGACAACCGTCGCCAGCGAGAAGGACTTCTACAGCATGCTGGGTCTCTCGTCAGACATCATAGGATTTGACACGGATGGAGAACTGCTGCTCGCTTTTGACCACTACTAGGCCAGATGCGCTAACACTGCTTCTCGCTTTAGACATGGAACTCGACGACGCGAACGCAACGACGAAGCCTTCCATGACGAGCTTGAAGAAGAAAACCGGCCGTGTTCAGAAGAAGAGGCGTGGCAAGCCCCAGAACACGCTTACTTTCAAGAATTTCAAGACGGGTGCCCGGAAGTCTGGCGCAGGAAAGAAGGGAAAGCGGTAGCCAAGTGAGCAGGACATGATACCCCTCTCGGCGAAGCATCATCAGGTGTTGATAGGTTGGTCATCCAGCAAGGCGTAGGGCGTTTTATGATTTTCGGATTTTGTAAAAATTTCAACGGATATGGGTTTGCACAAGAGCAAGGGCTCAAAATTCAAAGTTTTCTGTCTATTTTGTGATCTAAGATTTATGTTGCGCGATACAAATGTTCTGACCTACACAGAGTAAGAGTATAACCTATCCTACAGAATGCTATTACCCGCTCATATATATTGAGTTCATCATAATATACCATTATATTCCCCATCATTTTCCCTTCACGTATGTAGCGTCGCTGTCCGGACAAGAAGTACTCGGTAGGTATTGCGGATTTCGTCAACAGGTAGCCAAGAGGTGGGGAAACACTTAAGAAGAGTAAGCCATCATCCGGAGCTGATACTATTAGTATCATTCGTACTATATCACTTCAAGTCGCATTGGATCATTTTCGTGGGGTTACAAAACCGTCGACAAGAACCCCATTCAACATACTCAGTAGCATCGAACGCAGCAGGTTTTATCCAGCCCCGAATCCAATCAAACAGAGCACACAAGCAAAAGTTCGTAACCAGCTGAAGACATTCAGGGTCTTCGCAAGCAGCTTTCATATCCCCATCAAGGCACGATCGGGGTACTAGATCAGTATTAATTCGTCCTAATACAAGGTAGAAGAAGCTTATATTCAGTGATAATATCGTACACCCGCCTCACTCAACCCCTTCGCAAAGAGCGGTACAATTCGATCGTTTCCTAATGCTGACTGCTTGTAGAGTCTCTCTTTATACCGACAAAAGCGTCCAAATAAGCACGCAAACCCTAGCTGGATATACCGACAAACGCCTTCTTAACAGCCCAAAGCCCCCAAACACCGTAACCATCTCAACAGCAGCAGTACAGCAGTACAGCACTTACCCCACCCCAACATACACATACACCCCCACGCCCCTCACCACCGATAAGCTTGCAACAGCTCCTCAGTCCTGTGCCACGAAATCGGCGTCCCAAACAGCACGAACATCTCCTCATCGAACTCGGCCACGCGCCGCAAATACCGCCTCCACCACCCATTCCTCTCTTCTTGCTCCTCCTCTCCTTCCTCGCCCTCGTCTCCTCCGCGTACATCCATGCTCAGCAGCAGCGCCTCTGCCCCCGCTGTGCGCGCCTGGTTGCTCGAGCGCGCCGACGCGAGGTTCGCCGCTGTGGTGTTGTCGCTGGCGAAGAAGTTGCCGCGGACGTAGGCGCCGTTGAGGAAGAGGTCGAGCTCCTCGGCGTCGGCGTCGGCGTTAGCAATGCTGGTGGTGATGGTGATGGTGGTGGTGGTTGTGGGAGCGGGAGCGGCTCTGCCGCAGGAGAGCGACTCCGTCTCCGCGGCCGCCGTGCACAGGCTCGCAGCGATGGCGGCGCGGATGTCGTCAGCCGAGAAGCCGTCGTCGGCGTTGGAGTCGGAGCCGGCGATGGTGGCAGGGAGAGAGGGGCCGGTTGGAGAAGCGGCGGCGGCGGCGGGAGCGACCTCGCGCAAGCTGGCTTCGATGGCGGCGCGCATGTCGGCTTCGTACTGCGCCTCTTCGGCTTCCAGACGGCGGGCTTCTTCCTTGCCTTCTCTGTTGGCGTTGGCGGCAGCTGGCTGAGCGGGGAGCGAGCGAGCGGGACGGCGCTGCTCGTTGTGCTGCTGCTGCTGCTGCTGCTGCTGCTGTTGCTGATGATGATGATCGGGATTGTGTTTGGCCTGTAATGCGTGAGGTTAACATACAGTTATATACCAAGGGTTAAGTACGAGGGGCTAGCATGCATTGTTATTGTATCGCTATGCGGTGCGGTCTTATTTGTGTTATTGGTGTTGGAATGTGATCGTGGATGTAGACACGGGTGCAAGTGCAGAGTTGGAGTTGTGTTAGGCAAGAAGTTTTTGAATTTCGAAGGGGGATTTTCAGTGTGCGAGGGAGATGGGTGGATGGTGGCGATGATGTTCATTCGCTCTTTGTGGTGAATGGTGGTGACTGCCTTGAGATGATTTTTTTCTGGCGCCAGTATGGTATGCCACCTACACTGGAAAAGGCTTGTATCGAATAGGAGAGGGAAACATAAGTGATACGTGAGGAGCGATCTACCCGTTTCGAAGATGGTTATGCCAGTACTAGATATCTGCCGCTTGTGTTGAGAAGGCATAACCTCAATGGCCCTAGGACTATAACGCTGCGAGTAGAAATCCTTACAAAGACGCGCAAGCATTTGCTTCATAGTTATAGTAAAACTTAGTAGGTAGCACTGCTTACTAGATATAAATGATTGTATATCGTTATATGCTTTTAGGTGGTTACAGCTCGCGTCGGGATAAAGTAGAACATAAACTACTTACTCTCTAGGCAGGTTAGAACGCTTATATCGCCTAATATGAAGCACCACTAGTTGTATCGGCTCTAGATGGTTGCTTATCCTTCTTAGGCGTTTTTCCTACCTCTTAGCTACTTGTTGATGGAATTTGCTATACCTACCGAGTAGTCCCTATCTAGGTTGTAGCGCTAAATATTTAAAGTATGTGCGGTATTATATAAGTACTAAGTTAAAAAATATAGAAGTAGCTAAGAGTATTCTATATAATACGAGGGTACGGTAATAAGAGAGTACGAGAGTAATATATAAGGCCTTTAGAAATAATAAAGATAGATAGGTAAAGGTACTCTACGAATGTATAAGCGTAGGCCCCGGATAATTTGCCTACCCCTTCTAGATATTTTACCTACCTCTTAAGTATATATTAAGTAAAATCTATAATACCTACAGAATACTTCTTAGGTAGTTATAATAGACTATTACACTACAGCTAATAGATACTATATAATTATATAAAAGTAAAAATATACGAGTAGTAGAGTATACTACGAGAGTATAGAGGTATAGATATATACGACTACTAGAGTAGCTACGAGGGTATAAAAATAAAATATTCGAAGGGTATAAACGTACTTATAAGGGTATAGAGACCTAAGATCTTAAAGACTAGAAAACACATTATGTAATTCTGTAGATGCTATCACGTAGGGTGGGCAAATTATCCGGTGCCGTGTATACAGGTAGAAGTATATCCTATATATAGTTAGAACTATATAGAACAGAACCTAGGGCTATCCGGTAATGAAGATAGGGTGCTCTATTACGAAATACCTCGTAGCCTTTACGAGCCAGCTGTGCCTACCGCGGAGACTGAACATCTCAACGAGTTAGGCAACTTCAACGATCCTGGCACACACCCTCCCGTTAACGAAGACCCTAGAGTCCAGCGGACTGGGGCTGGATCTAAGCACAGAAGCTACCCGTAAGCAGAGTAGCTACAGCGATAATGCCAATAGCCGAAAATGTTTGCCCTGTGCATGGTGTTGAAGCTAAAGATGTATGTCTTCGTTGAAATAAAGTTGGGTTGCCCCGACTGATCATCGCTTAGTCGTGGGTTGCGACTGCCTGCCTGTCGTTAAATTGGAGAGAATAGACGAACCAAAACAACGTGAGCGGGGTTACGCGCAGACGCTGCCATGCGAAACTGGACGTAAGCCAGTACACCAAAAATTATTTGAAAATATTTCTACATGACAAGAAGTAGAAAAAGGCAAAAAAATGCTCGCTGGCAGGATCGAACTGCCGACCTCCGGATCACCCGCTTCTGAGAAGCAGTCATACTTGGAAATATGAGACCGGCGCCATAACCAACTAGACCAAGCGAGCTGGAAGTTGTTGAGAAGTTGCGTTGTTTGTCAACATTATATTCTTTTAAGAATGCTTATCAGCATCCTCATTTCCCCATATCACGCTGATGTTGATAAGCTTCCTATTCCAGCTCTGTTATCTCTGTCAACGCCAACGCTAACATTCTCTGAGCACTAGCGTAATTGCTTGATATCCATTGCGGGTCTATATCTAGGCTTGATTCCACCTCCCTTAACATTTCTACAAGAACTCGTCGCTGCGCTGCCAAAGACCATCACTCAAACCCCAGATCAGCCAAATGTCGTGGCCGCTGCTGTGCGGAGAAACCGGAGAAGTTGAATAAACGCTTAAACGCCAGGCCACGATCATCTTACGTTATGGAAACGGCATTGACTCCAGGTTTCGGGCCACACTGGCATCTCGAAGCCGGGTGCCAGCCGTTCCAGCGCTCTCCGAAGAGATCTCCCCAGCCGTGTTGGTGGGCATCAGGGAGGCGTATGATGCCACTGAGTGGCATGCGGATGACGGAATATTTGTGAGGCGATTGCTTCCGGGCGCCTCCCATCCGCATCATTACCGGCGTCATCATTACCGGCGTCATGGGAATCCTGAACGCCTGACCTGGATGGGGTGAGTAGCTGGCGACCGAGGGGCGTGCTTCTGGTGCCTTTCTTGACTTTCTGTCGACTACTTCTCCACAAAGACAAAGAACACCGTACGGTTACCATTGCACAAACCCGTCTGTGCCAAAGATGATTTCTCCTAAAGTCCGGGAATTGAACTTCGACATAGACCGCTACCTCAATCGCGTAATACCCCGCTCTCAGCTATATCGACTTCCGAAGCAGATTTCCTTTCTCCTCGGACATAGGACTTCCGTCCGCCAAGAGGTTGGCAACGTTTTAGTCTCGATATGGGCACTCGTAGGGGCATTTTGCGGCCTGACAGTCGTCTCTTCCGTCTTCAGGTATAGCTCGGTCATCCAAGAGCACAATCCGCCAGTGTTAGTGGCAAGTTTGGTACGCTCGTGTTTACCTTTGGTCCACACTGTTGCTTCTTTCGCTCATTGAAACACGCAGGGAGCAGCAGCAATCCTCCATTACAATGTCATCCAGTCTCCGCTCGCACAGCCGCGAAACGCGGTCCTGGGAAACACCCTGTCGGCCATCGTTGGAGTCGGAATCACGAAGTTGTTTATGCTCAGCCCTAATTTTGAGAACATCCGGTGGCTGGCAGGACCCTTATGCTGTGGCCTCGCCTCGTGGATGATGACCATGACGAATACAATTTATCCGCCTGGAGGTGCTACGGCTGTCCTCGCCGCGACTGATCCAACCGCTAACGCAATGGGTTGGTTCTTTGTTCCGCTGGTCCTCATCGGTACACTCCTTATGCTCGGAGTTGCTCTCATCATCAACAACATTCAGCGCCAGTATCCTCTGTACTGGTGGACGCCGCGGGACGTTGGCCGACAAAAGAAGCCCGACATTGAGCACAGTTCGATTGATAAGGAAAAGGAAACCAAGACGCGCCTGGGAGAAAAGGATGGGGTCAATATGCAACATCGTATTATAATCACCGAAGACAACATTGTGTTGCCGGAGAACTTCACATTGGGCTCCGAGGAAGAACAATTGCTGGAAGAATTGCGGGACCGACTGCGCAACGCGGATCCGCAGTACAAGTTGCATAACCATTCGTCTGTGTCGGACACGTACCAGACGCCCCATTCGAGCCGGGATATCCTGCCCACGGACAAGTCTTGAAACTCTGCCGAAGTTTTGTAGATTTAAGATCGAGCATTTCCTCGGAGTCTATCTTTAGCTTGGAGGGTGTCGATCACATTTGCTTCAAAGCGTCCCAGCGTTGTTGGTCCTAGTGTTTATCTGTAAGCATTTCTTATGAATGAGTGAACGTTCTAGCGGAGCATGTAAATACATCCAGCGTCTTTTTGTTCTCGAGTTCCATACCAGTTTCACCAATTGTCCAGGCGTTTAGATTGCGATGATAGTTGTTCGAACGGCTTCAACGTAGAGGATAGGATTGCAGCACCATAGACAGAACTATTCATGCCTGGCTGGTACTCTAATTTATGCAGCCCTTCCATAATTTTATGATCTACAAGCCAAATGTTGTTAACACATGTACCACGTATGGTCCTGACCACTTAGTGGAGCCAGTTTATTGCTGGGCGTTATTCCACGATATGCAATCCGCGAACTTTACGCTGCTGCCGCCGAAGATGTCCAGGGCGCTGCCGATAGTCAGATCGACCTTCCCGCCGCTCAACTCTTTGACCGTGTCCAGATCTTCCAGGCTTCTCCCACCGCCGGCGTATGTCACCGGGATGGAGCACCACTGGGACAACTTCCGCACGAGCTCATGGTCAATGCCTTGCTGAAGGCCTTCATTGTCAGCGGCGTGGATCAGGAACTCGGCACAGTAAGGCTCGAGGAGGGAGATGGCTTCTACATGGAAGATTAGTCTCTGGAAGTATCGCAACCTGAACAGTCTTGCTGGAAACACGAACCCTGATTGAGCTCCATATCCGTAATCGTCTGCCACTTGTTCATGGCTACGAACCATGTGTCGCCGCGTCTGCGACAGCTGAGGTCGATGACAAGCTTCTCCTTGTCATTACCCAGCGCTGAGAGGACGGCCTGGAGACGCTCGAGGGAGAATTTGCCAGAAGGAAAGAGGTAGGAAGTTATGATCACCTACTATTCTCACATCAGTCAATGCCACTATAACACATCGCGGGGCAAGTGAAGAGATCGTAGAAGACATGCTTCAATTGCTAATGAGACTCAATGCCACTGCTACCCACCTTCTCTGCCCCGCGTTCAATCCAACTCGCAGCGTTTCCGTCCGTAATGCCACCTCCGACCTGCAGTCCATTGGGCCAAGCCTTGACGGCCTCGGTGGAAGCCTCCTCATTCCCAGGTCCGAGCATGATAACATGCGCACCCGTCAAGTTATTGTCCTTGTACAGCTTCGCATAGTACCCAGAGGGCAGCTCGGAGACATAGTTGGTCTTAAGGTCGCTGTCAGTAGTCGTAAGGGTTCCGCCAACAATCTGCTTGACAGATCCAGAGTGCAGGTCAATGCAAGGGCGGAACTTCGTCATTTTGGCTATCGAAGCGCGGTTTGAAGGTGCGTTTGCGGAGTTGCGCTCGGAGGTGTGACATCGGCGGTGCGGCAGAATTCCGCTCACCGCCAAATTTGTGAAGCGCGCCGCGCTGCGCGTCGCAAAGTTGCTGAGCTGCCGCAACTCCGACATTATACCAAAATGGCCATTTTACTGGGAAAGAGGAAGCGCGTGGAGCCCAAGGTCGAGAATGCCAAGAAGCCTAAGCCTAAGCAGGCCCCGGAACCGGCAGATGATGCGGAGGACTTGAAGGCTATTTTTGCGCGCGCATTTGAGGCGAAGTTCAAGCCTCTTGATGGCGCAAAGAAGTCTGAGGCTCGGGCTCAAGCTCCCGAACCTGCAGTTGAGGAAGAGAAAGATGAGGAGGAGGACGACTGGGAAGGCATTTCTGAGGAGGAGGATGCGCCAAAGGTCGAGGTTGTCGAGCACACAGGACCAGTTCACAGAGAGCGAGCAGACAAGTCTGAACTGAAAGCGTTCATGGTAGGCCTTGCTATCCTCCACATCTTAGAGGTTCTATCTGACGGCTACTAGTCTTCCAAACCCCCCTCTTCCGCGGCCCCCGCCACGAATAAACCAACCAAGGCCGGCGGAGACAACGGAGAAGAGGGGGAAGGAGAAGCCATGAATCTTAAGAATGATTTGGCGCTTCAGCGTCTTCTGAAGGAGTCCCATCTTCTGGATGCAAACGACATCCTCAGCGGCCCGACAGGGAAGAGCCGGCACAAAGCTACCGACATGCGTCTCCAAGCCTTGGGCTCGAAGAAGTCAATTCTACATCAAGAGAAGATGCCCATGTCACACCGGAAGGGCATAGTCGCCAAGGCAGCCGCGAAGGAATCAAAGCGACGACAGGAGGCGAAGGAAAATGGTATCATCCTCGAGAAACCGACGATGAAGAAGGTGGAGCATAAGAAGAGGGAGAGGGGTGTTGGTGGGCCGGACGTTGGTCGGTTTAGCGGTGGCACGCTGAGGTTGAGCAAGGCAGACATAGCGAGTATTTCAGGACCCAGCAGAGGTTCGTGTGGGAAAAGGGGAAGGAGATGAATGTTCAAGAAATAATTCCAGATACCCAGCGAAGATGGGACAATTTATTAGGAGTAACGGCATCACAATAACTTTATTTCTTGTATAGACATAGCGAGAGTGAACACCACGCATGAAAGCTTCACTGGACATAAAAATTCAATGAACGAGACTTGCTCAGCCTGTGCTACTAATCCGAATATGCTACATGAGTCCGTCCAGTACCGTAAGCTTACAGATCTATAATTCCATTTGGCACTGCTCAAAGTTGAACATGTGCAGATATGACGCCGTGACGCCAAGCTTCCCTCGAGTCCGAAACATCATCCGCCAGTGGTCTAATCAGAAAGCGAGAGAGGGTATCCTATCCCGACCAGAACAAATTGAATGAAAAGCAATAGCTTCTAAGTAGAAGTCGGAAGCGCAACCCGATGCTGCTCAGTAGAGGCAACCTTCTTGACGTCCTCGAGCGGGGCGCCTGTCATGTGGTTGGTGCTTACTGGCTGCTGATTGAAAGTAAAGGTGTGAGCAGATTGACTGGCCATGCCGCCCAAGTTACTAGCAGTGGCGGTCTCCGTGGCAGGCGCAGTCTCCATCTTGCCGTTGAGCAGTGGTTCGGTCTTGCTTTCGCTTGCAGGTGGAGACGGCAGCTTGACGGTGGCATCGGCGCCGGGAGCAGCTTGCGGCGCGTCGAGATCCATCTTGTTGGTGTGGAACTCGTTCTCCTCAGCGTTGTCGATATCCATCTTGTTGTCCTGCGTGCCCAAGCTCATGGCCGCAAGGCGACTCTTGGCGACATGCAGCTTGACGACCAAAGGACCGCCATTTGGCATCACGTCCAGTTCATCATCATCCGAGGCCTCATCGAAGTCCTCTTCATCATCATCCAGCTGCGGCTCTTCCTCTTCATCGTCATCACCGCCACCCCATTCACCACCTGACGCATCGTCCTCATCATCCATTTCATCGACGCTGTTCCAACCGTCGATGTGGGTGCGGCGACGACCTGCGCGGCCGGCACCAGATCTCCCGGAGCGCGTCAAACGTCCGTTGGCACGCGGTTCATCGGTTCCAGAACGCTCATAGTCAGCTGTCATGGGAGACTGATCCTCACCCGCCTGGCCGCTTAGAAGGGTCTCTCCGTAGGTGCCTCCGACACGCGACCGGACTTGGCGACCACTAGCGGTGACAGTGGGCCCGGATACTTCGTTAGGAGTGCCGTAACCTGAGTTGCGAGTAGACCGGCGAGTGGAGGTAGCATCAGTCAACTCATCTTCGTCATCCGAGAATGTGTATTTCATGCGTTTGCCACGGGTACGGCCTTCGTAGAGTGAGAAGCCAGGTTCGGGACGCGCAAACTGCGCTTTGCGAGCCAGACGGTACTCGCGACGCTTACGTTTCTGCATACGCTCATCAATACTATAACCTTGGATGATTGATGGGATAGACTTACCTCCTCCGTTGCCTCAAAGCGAGGGATAGCAGCAAGGATCCGCTCACTTAGCTTGCGCGAGCTTTGAACGTTGTCATCGGCCAAGTTTTGCGCAACCTGCTTCAATTCATCGATCGATCCCGCAATGCTCCACCATGTGTTGTGCTTCAGAGCCGGGTTGCTCTCGCGGTACAGGCGGAAGTTCGTGTCGTCCTTGCCCTCAATCAACCAGTAACGGCGCTTCTCGGCATCGCGACCCCATGGCTGAACGGACAGCGGTTGGTTGAGATCATCGTCGTGCCGGGATTGCTTGTAAGAGTCTTTGATCATGCCCTTCACGGCTTCCGAATCACTCAAGCTCCAAATGATGAGAGCCTTCAACAGAGAAAGCTGCAACTAGTTAGCGACCAAAGCGTCGCAAGGCGACATGGGAAGACTTTGACATACGCGCTCTTGCGGGCCCATTGTATTGAACGATTTAGAGCCGCTCACAGGGTTGACTCCCTGCCATGACCTCGGCCATTGGGTTTTGTTGGCGGCAACTGCCTCCTCAAGAGCTCGGCCATAGTGTCCCTTTCTGTTGATGCGACAGCGGGTTAGCCTTATCCTCACTTTATCGCTACATGCGACCGAGTATTGGTTGTGTTCCATGTAGGCGCTAGTGCAGCGGCGGGGCGGACGTACTCGACAGGCTTCTTGCGGTTCAATGCGAGTCCCAGTAGCGCGCACAACAGACTCTCGATATGCGATGACGGCAATTGGTCTACAACGCCTCTTTCAACATCCTGAGGCCCCAAGTGAGGACACTTCGCAGGGAAGACATCGGTGAAGCGGGAACGGAACATGACTATGAACTATGATGTAGGATGCGCATTAGCATGGCGTGCTTTGCAAATAGGACGCGTTGCACGCGTCAAAGACGTGTCATATCGCGCATGTAACTTACAGCTATGTCTGGATTGTCGGCGATGACCTCCTCGTGTGGTGGAGATGCCGGGCGCTTCCTTTGTGGTGGAGGGCTGTCGGGGGTCTTTGCGGGCGCGGCCTTCTTCTTTGCGGTCGTCTTTTTCTTCAGAAACTTGTCCATGGGGCCGACGGCGGCTGGCGATTCGTTGTCGCTCGCAGGAGGCGACGACAACACCGATGAGAGATCCGAGTCGCTCATGGTGTTGGTGGCTGTGGTTGTTGTTGAAGTGCAGATGGTTGTGGTGTGGAGGAGGTGAAGTGCGGCCGCGCTCCAGCACTACGTCGAGAATGGAGCTAGGAACAGCACGACGATAAGATTACATGATTGGCCTTAGCATCATTGTTATACCAGCGGTGAGCTGGCTTGCACGCAGGTTCAATATATCCATCATATCACGCTTGAGTTGGACTTGAAACGACAGCAGAAGATAGCATTTCTTTCCTACGATATACATAGTTGCTTTCGGAGAGACCATGGGCGACATTCAGGTGGCTGGGTGATTGACGCCAACCAGCCTGTGTTCCGTAGGGTCCACGCTGACTGCCCGACCGGTGATATTCGAAAGCCCAACTGCCGTCGGTTTCCCTGCGAAGGAGACTCAATCTTGCAACCGACACAAATGGTCTCACCCGGACGGTGCTGTCGATTCTCCGTCGCGGCCATAAGTGCAATGATGCCGACGAAGAGTTGCGTTCATCGTGGGGAGTTAGGTTCCCCCCGAAATTTCGATCATCGCACATCGCAGCAGTGTTGCAAACTGCGTATGCGTCCGTGTAGATGTACAGTTGACTCCTTGCTCTTGACTGGAAGGTTCACGGGTTTCAGGTTGGTCCAAAACTACCAAAGTTCTTCGGTAATTTCGCGACCGTAGCGTTGATACCGTTGGCGAAGAGGTTTCTTAACATGCTCGCCCACGCCTCGCTTTTGGTGCTATGACTGGGGGTCCTTGCGGTGTATACGACCGCGTGAAATAGAGTAGCCGCAATGCGTTCTAATCATAACTCAGGGTCCTAGAACCAATGTTAGGGGAGACTGTTATTGTGGGACCAACAGGAATGTGAGAAACTCGAGATGAACGAATAATGCTTTTTCCGCACAATATGGCCAGCAGCACAAACTAAAAAGGTTTACTGAGCTCCGCGGTCGCCAGCGGTTTCTTTCGAAGGGCCTGTTACTTGTTGTCGCGTCGCGCATAACAACAACATCGCTATTCAACCAACTGACCACATGAACTGAAACTGCGACACTACGAAATGCTTCAACAAGACGAGATGGTATTGAATCAGTACGGAAACAAGAAATGGCAAATCCTTAACTTTTGGAAGGATAACAGCGGTCATAATGCGATGCATGTGACCTAAATTGACGGTCGACTCCTCTCGCAGCGCTTCAGAGACCCTCTGACCTTGCTCTTATTTTTGATGGGGATGCGTCATGGTTGATGGTGAGGCGGCGCTCAAAGTCGAGGTTGAAGTAGCGCTAGCGTGAGGTGGCCAAAGCTTGCCAAGCCAGCCGCCTTCGCTAAATCATCAATCGCACAATACTCAGATTTTGTCCCCAAGGACGACACCCGGACGGATCACATTGCACGACAACAACAGCAGCCAAAATGGTCAGTAATATCTTTCGCATGATGCTTCAACCTACGGCCACCATTCTTGCGTGGCACGCACTGTCTGCGAATCACAATCGGTTGCGGCGGATTAGAACGACAGACAGCGCGGCGCCCGACAAGACATGGCAACCGCCTGCAGGCTGCATGAGAACCTGAGCTGACAGTTCGCAGGGTCGTGTTATCAGGAACCAGAGGAAGGGGTACGCGCTACAATCCGCATGTCGCAACGATTCGAACGAACACTAACGTCAAGAAAGTCGCGGTTCCATCTTCGTGGCCCACACCCGCCTCAACAAGGCCCCCGCCAAGCTCCGGACCTACGACTATGCTGAGCGTCACGGCTACGTCCGTGGTGTCGTGAAGGAGATTGTTCACGACGCCGGACGTGGCGCTCCCCTCGCCAAGGTCGTCTTCCGTGACCCTTACCGCTACAAGCTCCACACCGAGACTTTCATCGCGAACGAGGGCATGTACACCGGCCAGTTCATCTACGCCGGAAAGAACGCCAGCTTGACGATCGGCAACGTCCTTCCTCTCGGCTCTGTTCCTGAGGGTACCGTCGTCTCCAACGTCGAGGAGAAGATTGGTGACCGTGGTGCGCTTGGAAGGACTTCCGGCAACTACGTTACCGTCATTGGCCACAACCCCGACGAGGGCAAGACCCGCATCAAGCTGCCCTCCGGTGCCAAGAAGGTCGTCAAGAGCTCCGTCCGCGGTATGGTCGGTATCGTCGCTGGTGGTGGAAGGACGGACAAGCCTCTTCTGAGTATGTGCATAAAGTGACGTGCATGCACAAGAGCGGAAGCTAATGAATGCGACAGAGGCTTCCCGCGCCAAGCACAAGTTCGCCGTCAAGCGCAACTCTTGGCCCAAGACTCGTGGTGTTGCCATGAACCCCGTTGATCACGTAAGTAGCTCCGGCTTCTTCTGCCAAATCTTGGATGCTGATTCGCTCTTCTACAGCCTCACGGTGGTGGTAACCACCAGCACATCGGTAAGGCCTCTACCATCTCCCGCTACGCCGCCCAGGGTCAAAAGGCCGGTCTCATCGCTGCCCGGAGAACTGGTCTGCTCCGTGGTACGCAGAAGACGAAGGAGTAGATTCTCGGGTGATGCATGGGTTTGGGTGTTCTTTGCTGCGGGTTCGGATTTCCTTGGGGCCAATAGTAGCCTTATGTACCAGGAAATAAAAAACATGGTGCGAACAAGGCTTCTTCAGTTATTTCCGCAACGAGCCCACGGTAGATTCCAGACTGGGCACGTGTGCGACCACTCAGTATCAATTGAAAATGGCTCACGGGCAGATCGTTTTGCCTTAACGAATGATAATGCTCTTCGAGATGACGTCCATAAATAGGAGATTTTTGCAATGTCGTGGGACCTGTGCTGAAACGGTTGACGCCCTCATGTTAATGGCGTGTATGGGTGTTTCAGATGGTCGACAGGCACGCGAAAGAGGGGAATTAGCACCGTGTCATCGGCAGACCCCTTGGAAGGAGGGGAACTGACAGTGACGGTCGTTGGCTGAGCCACGATTTTGATGGGGACAGCTCGAGCCAGAACGCGCGGTTCCCGCGTCGTCGTCCTTGGCCCTTGCTCCAAGATCGGCACCGCTTGGGATTCCTTGAATCCTTGTGGCATCATCAGGGCTAGAACTCTATGAGCATATCTTGACGGCTGTGCCGCGTCTCTCCCCTCCTCCGCATTTCTTGCTCGCTTTCTTGCTCTCCAGTCCCACCAGACGCTCATTTACCTATCTGCTGTGGCCCATCGACACCCCTCTTGCCACCTGAAACCGGACTTGGAATTGCTAGCCAAAGCTTCCAAAGCCCCTCGACCACACGGTCAAACGAGTACGCAAGCGAGCGTGACCTAAATCGCTAGAGGCACCGGCGCTCCTCTACAAAGGTTCGCCTCAACCGTTGATTGAGGGACCTTCATCATTCTTATCCCGCGTACTATCTGCCATCATGCTTGTCAACAAGAAGCTCGACCGCTTTAAGCAATGGGCGGGTGAGCGCATGGGCGGGGAGGCCAAGACGACCACGTCCGACAACTTCAAGGCTCTTGAGCAGGAGATGAACGTGAGATCTGACGGTATGTTTTTTGCTATCGCGCGCGGTTTGACAAGTGGCGCTAATTCGCTCATCTAGGCACGAACAAGCTCCATTCATCCATGAACACCTATATCAAATGGCTATCAAAGCGCACCGATGGCGAAGACAAAGAGAAGTTCACGCCCATAGGATACCTGGGCTCTACCATGATCAGTCATGGTGACGATTTTGACCCGGAGTCAATCTATGGTGGCTGCTTAACATGTACGTACCCTAAAGCCTTGATCGTGAATGGCGCACCAAGCTCACACTTCCTCAGCGATGGGTAGGGCTCAAGAAAGGATCGCACGCACCCAGGAAACTTATCTTGTCGACGCATCGGGCAGTTGGCTTGAGGGAGTTGAGCGCAACGTCGCGCAGATGAAGGAATACAATGCGGCCCGCAAGAAGTTGGAACAACGTCGGCTTGCCTACGATGCCTCGCTCGCCAAGATGCAGAAAGCAAAGAAGGAAGACTTTAGGGTGGAAGAAGAGCTTCGCTCACAAAAGATCAAGTACGAAGAGGCCAATGATGATGTCTTTCGCCGGATGGAGGATGTCAAGGAAGCTGAGAGAGACAACGTGGAGGACCTGACGACCTTCCTTGAGGCTGAGCTCGCCTACCACGACAAGTGCAGGGAGATCCTCTTGCAACTGAAGCGGGAATGGCCTGCTAAGTAAGTGATGCCAGAGGGAGCTCATGTTTGGCACAATTGCTGACTGGTCATTAGTATTGGATCTCCAGGAGACAGTCGCCGTCCCCCCAGCTCCAGACAACGCTCGAACACCGCGCACTCATACTCTGAACGTTTCAATCCCGTCGAAGAAGAACCCGAGCCAGAGCCAAAGCTCACCATTCCGAAGCTCCCTACCAGGGGCGCATCTCCCAGCAGGAGCTACACTGGTGCAGACTCCCCCAAGCGCCCCAGCATCAATCGTGCGGCGACTAGCATGGCTGAGAGTCCGAGAGGTCGTGTTGACGAGTCACCCGTTGGCGCGCCACGATTGTCTCGTGTCCCGACCGATTCATCGGCCGTTTACGCCGCTCGTAATACCTTGCGACCGGTGAGGAGTCGTAGCGACATGTATGGGTACGGAGACGGTGACGAAGCCGAGGATGACGGTGCATACGGCAGAGGCCGGTCCGTGTCTCCGGCACCATCGTACGGCAGCCTGGCTTCTAGAAAGGCCAGTTGGTCTGCTGCTGCGACTGATGCATCTCCTGGTGGCGCTAGAAAGGCACCACCACCGCCTCCTCCGTCACGTGCCAAGAAGCCTCCACCGCCGCCGCCGCCGATGAAGAGGCCGATCTAAGTTTCTTTTTCTTTTGCTTCAACGGGGGTTTAGGGACTAGTGCATGGATGCGTGTGCGCATGGATAGAAAGGGTTTCTGGAAGGGCGCCGGCTTGGATAGGATCAACGGTGGGGCTGGGGGTTTTTAGGTTTTTGAGAGGCGGGGAGTTGCGGGATGTGGGTGGGAGTCTGGAGCAGCTGTTGCGTTGTGTCACGCACGCGCCTTAGGACTGCAGGCCGGTCTCCCCAATCCCCATTGATGAGGTCACATGAGGGTCACTTGACCTGGAGCGAAGGCGGTACCTGTAAGATTAGGAATGCAAAGTCAAAGTCAACGCGTGTGTCCCGGGCGTCAGGAGGGGAGGATGAGAGGGGAAAGCATGGAAATGTGCTTTGTGGTGCGGTTGTTGGGCGGGTCACGTGCGGCGCTAGCCCGGGCCAAGACTCAGCCTCCAGCTGCGCTGGACCTACTCACGTCCTTCACTTTGTCGCATCGCGGGTTGACGAACCACCCCCCATCGCAGCACCCCCGAGCCTTATCTCCGCGCATCGACACGTCCTCCACGACGCGTGCAGCTTCCCACTCCACGAATTTCGCGCTGCACGCGACCCTCCGACCACACCACACTCTTTTTCGCCTCCCACCCGCCAATTCGCACGTCGCGACGCCTGCGGTCGCCCTGCTCCCCGGCTTGTCTCCGACGGCCGCCAACCGCTCGCATTGCTGCTTGCCATCCCACCACCGCCCGATAATGATCTGAAGCCCTCGACACCCTGCAGCCACGTCCACTCTCACCCATCCTCGGCGGTCTTCTTCAGCCGAGGGCCCTTCAGGCGCGTCGCCGCGGCTTAACACTTTGTAGACCGGCCGTACAGCGACACACAACACTGCAAACATGGCTTCCGTCCAACCTGTCAACGGCATGCAAGGCCAGGGCGGCGTTATGCCCCTGCCAGTCGGCCTCACGAAAGAACACATTCAGGCGACATTCCAAGTAGGTCTCCTCAAACTGCGTCACTAATCACCACATACATTTACTGACGGGCGCGCAGAAATACCAACAGATGAAAATGCAAAACGTCAGCGAATCCGACCCCGAATTCATTAAGGCGCGCAACCTCCTCCAAGCCGTGCAGCAACAAACAAATCTCCAGAAGCAGAGGCAGCGCTACCTGCTCGAACAGCAAAAGCAGCAAGCTGCTGCTCAACAACAGAACGGAAATGGTCAAGGCTTTTCCGCCAACGGCATCGCGGCCGCATCTGGAGCTCAAGCAGACGGCCAAACACCTGCGACTGCCGCCCCATCCGCAACTCAATCTGTCCCCAGCAGCGGCACCAATGGCATTTCCCAACAATCCGGAGCTACTGAAAAGCCCACCCCGGCTCCTGGTAACGCGGCGAACAACGGATTTACGCAGCAGCAGATGTGGATGTTGCGCAATCAAATTGCTGCCTTTAAGCGCCTCTCTAGGAACATGCCACTTCCCCTGGACATGCAGCAGCAGTTGTTCCCTTCCATGCAAGCCAAGAAATCCCCGACCCCGGCCGAGGCTGTAGCCGCTGCTGGCCAGGCTCTCGAAGATGCCTCGCAAGCTGCTACGACTGATGCGAACAAGGAGGAATCTAATGCCCACAAGGGTTTCAAGACAACTACCGATCCGTACTCGATGTTTCCCAAGACGATCAGTTATGCCGACCATGGTCTCCGCGACAGGCGTGTCATTTTGCCAAGCATCATGCCGACTGGTGTCGATGTCGATAGACTTCGAGAAGAGCGGGACATTATGATGTACAACCGCATCCAATCTAGGAAGGCGGAACTTGAGTCTTTGCCTGCAAACATTGGTATTTGGGACACGAGCAAATCGGACGTTCCAACCGATGAGCACTCGAAAAACCTGAAACTCAAAGCCCTTATCGAATACAAGAAGCTCTGTTTGTTGCCCAAACAGCGCGCTTTGAGGCAGGAGATTGGAAAACAAATCCTCTACGCTGACAACCTCGCAATGACCGCCAACCGTGCGATGTACCGTCGTGTCAAGAAGCAGTCTCTCCGCGAAGCTCGCATTACGGAGAAGTTGGAGAAGCAGCAACGCGATGCCCGCGAGAGCAAAGAGAAGAAGAAGCAGAACGACCAGCTCAAGGCGGTCATCACTCGCGGCGAAGAGATTCAAAAGGCTGCGCTCAACCAGAAGCAACGACTGCAGCGCCTTGGTCGTGCCATGATGCAAACCCACCAGAACATCGAGAAGGAAGAGCAGAAGCGTGTCGAGCGCACTGCGAAGCAGCGTCTGCAGGCTTTGAAGGCCAACGACGAAGAGACTTACCTGAAGCTGCTCGGTCAAGCCAAGGATACCCGTATCTCCCATTTGCTCAAGCAGACCGACGGTTTCCTCAACCAGTTGGCCGCTTCTGTCAAGGCCCAGCAACGCAGCGCTGGCGAAAAGTACGGTGCCACCGACCTCCCGAGCGACGAGGAGGAAGAGGAAGAAGACATGGAAGAGGATGACCCCCGCAGGAGAAGCAACAAGGTTGATTACTACGAGGTTGCCCATCGCATCAAGGAAGACGTTTACGAACAGTCTAGCAACCTTGTCGGTGGTACCCTCAAGGAATATCAACTCAAGGGTCTGCAGTGGATGCTTTCGCTTTACAACAACAACCTCAACGGTATCTTGGCTGATGAAATGGGTCTCGGCAAGACGATTCAAACCATCAGTCTTATCACGTATCTCATCGAGAGGAAACAACAACCCGGTCCTTACCTGGTTATTGTGCCTCTCAGTACGTTGACGAATTGGAATAACGAGTTCGAGAAGTGGGCCCCCAGTGTCACCCGCATTGTCTACAAGGGCCCGCCGCAGCAGCGTAAACAGCAGCAACAGCAGATCCGTTGGGGCAATTTCCAGGTCCTCCTTACCACCTATGAATTTATCATCAAAGACCGTCCGATTTTGAGCAAAATCAAATGGCTCCACATGATTGTCGATGAGGGTCATCGTATGAAGAATTCCAACTCCAAGCTCAGTAGCACGATCACGCAGTACTACACCACGCGCTATCGTCTTATTCTTACTGGTACACCTCTGCAGAACAATCTTCCTGAGCTCTGGGCTCTGCTCAACTTTGTTCTTCCCACCATTTTCAAGTCCGTCAAGTCTTTCGACGAGTGGTTCAACACGCCATTTGCAAACACTGGTGGTCAAGATAAGATGGAACTTACTGAAGAAGAGCAGCTGCTTGTCATTCGTCGTCTTCACAAGGTTCTCCGTCCATTCCTATTGCGCCGTCTTAAGAAGGATGTTGAGAAGGATCTGCCTGACAAGCAAGAGCGAGTCATTAAGTGTACCTTCTCTGCCCTCCAGGCCAAGCTGTACAAGCAGTTGGTCACCAACAACAGACTTGTGGTCAGCGATGGCAAGGGCGGCAAGACTGGCATGCGTGGTTTGAGCAACATGCTTATGCAGCTGCGAAAGCTTTGCAACCATCCGTTTGTTTTCGAGGAGGTTGAGGAGCAGTTGAACCCTGGAAAGGGCACCAACGACCTGCTCTGGCGTACTGCAGGCAAATTCGAGCTGCTTGACAGGATATTGCCAAAATTCAAGGCCACTGGACACAGAGTTTTGATGTTCTTCCAGATGACACAAATCATGAACATCATGGAGGACTTCTTGCGCTTGAGAGGACTTCAGTATCTGCGCCTCGATGGTTCGACCAAGGCGGATGATCGGTCAGACCTTCTCAGGCTCTTCAACGCTCCCGATTCACCTTACTTCTGCTTCTTACTTTCCACTCGCGCTGGTGGTCTCGGTTTGAACCTTCAAACAGCCGATACTGTCATCATCTACGATTCCGACTGGAACCCTCACCAGGATCTTCAAGCACAGGATCGTGCTCACCGTATCGGTCAAAAGAACGAAGTCCGCATCTTGCGTCTTATCAGCTCCAACTCCGTTGAAGAAAAGATTCTCGAACGTGCGAACTTCAAGCTTGACATGGATGGCAAGGTCATCCAGGCCGGTAAATTCGATAACAAGTCTACGAACGAGGAACGTGATGCAATGCTTAGGATCATGCTTGAGTCTGCCGAGGCTGCCGAAAACCTTGAACAGGCCGAGATGGACGACGATGACCTCAACATGATCATGATGCGGTCTCCCGACGAATTAGATGTGTTCCAGAAAATCGATGAGGATCGTGCCTTGAACGACGCTTATGGTCCCAACAAGAAATATCCTCGTCTCTTCAGCGAAGGCGAGTTGCCGGACATCTACGTCAACGATGAGACAGCCGTCGTGGAAGAGATCGAGGAGAACTATGGCCGTGGTGCCAGAGAGCGAACGAAGGTCAAATATGACGATGGGCTCACCGAAGAACAGTGGTTGGAGGCTGTCGACAACGACGAGGACTCAATCGAGGCCGCTATCGCTCGCAAGGATGCCAAAACGGCTCGTCGCGCGGCCAGAAAAGAGGGCAAGTTGCGAACTGAGTATGGTCTGGGTGACTCTCCTCCCGAGTCTCGTGCCACATCAGAAGAGCCTGTGCCGAAGAAGCGTGGCCGTAAACCTAAGGCTGCTGAAAAGCGTAAAGTTGACGAAGCTTCTCTGGACGGCGATGCAACCCCTGCGCCTCGCAAGCGTGGACGTGCTGCCAAGATAACAGAGACACTCAGTTCAGAGGACAGGGCAAGCCTCCAGAAAATACTTAACAACGTGTATGAGGCCCTCAATGACCTGGAAGAACCTCCACCACCAGATGATGATCTGCCGCCGCGTGGTATTATCGATCCTTTCATCGAGCTACCTGACAAGTACGACTACCCGGACTACTATCAGATCATCACGAAGCCGATATGCATGAACACCATCAAGAAAAAGATCAACAAGAAGGAGTACCAGAACCTCAGGCAGTTTAGACAGGACATTGCTCTCCTGTGCAGCAACTGTCGCACGTACAACGAGGATACTTCCGTTTTATACCAGGACGCCAATCTCATCGAGGTAAGCTTTGTATGTTACTTTTCCAGGACCTAGTCCACTAACCTTCTGTAGGAAACGTGCGTTCAGAAGCTCAAGGAAGAGACCGAGGAGTACCCTCAGTTTGCCGACTTTGGTGAAAAGGATGGTTCAATGCGACCTTCGACTGGCCCGGTGTCTAGTGTCGGCACGCCCTTGGCCTCGGGAGGACGTGAGTCTTACTGACACCAAGCATAGTTTCTTGCCTAACACTGACAGTGACCGTAGGGTGATGATTAGTCTTCATGACAAGCAATTGACGGAGTTTTAACGAGCGAAGTGGGGTCTTTTCAAGCCTACGCTGCAAGAGCGGGGGTGGTGGAGATGTTTTCTGCAAAACCCCTTTAATCACTTTCCACGTGTTGCTTGCCCCTGGTGCTGCTGCTACTACTGCAGCTGTCAGAGGGAAGCGGGTTGGTGAAATGGCATACGGCGCAATCGAGAGATAAACAGGATTGATCTGCATCAAGACACAGACATGCGGCGTGGATGGGTTGGTTCTTTATTTTCAACTTTTTTTCTCTCCCTTGCTTCTTTGCTTCGGCGGCTGTCTGCTTGTGTACTGTAGAATTCCGAGGGCACGTCAGGCAGAATGCGACATGCACGAAAAAAACATGATGTTTGGTGGGATGGATGTGTGCTGGTGTGTGAGTGCCTTGTCTCTTTCTTGCAGCCCTTGGGTCCTAGAGAAATTGAAGTCGCATGTCAGTCTCCTTGAATGGCTTCCTTGTCGACGCTTTTTTCTCTTGACAAGCGAACGTGGCATCGTCGCCCGCCGACTTATGGTCTGGTTCGGCTCTGGAACTCTGGCGCCTGCCTATTCGGCTTGTTTTTCGAAGTAAGGATGGGAGCACCGATGAGTGTGTGCGCAGTGGATTTGTGTGGCACGGAGCCTAAGTCAACCACGGATGGGCTAATCTGAAAGCAACTCACAAATACTACATTTAGCACTGCAGAAAGCAGCAGATGGATGTCCACACAGCAGCTATAGCAATGTCAACTAACTGAAGTTGAGGAGAGTTTCCACATAGGAAACGAAGTCTTGTGAGAGAATAGATTGATGTGCTGTTCGCGCATTTTCTACCAAAGAAGGTTTATAAAATAGATGAGGTGGTATTCCAATCCTTCTTAACTGTGGTCTGTCCTTCGAGAGGTAATGCTAGGGGAGTCACGAATAGACTGATATAGCTTGATGTTTTGCCCTGTCGTTTCAAAGAAGTCTATAGCGGGCAACGGCGCCGTTATAGCTACCTCCTAGAATGGTAATCGCTTCCGAGGCCGTGCAGTAGAGATTATCGTCTAATCGATTTGACCCAAGTGTTTGTTGGCGTTTTTCTGATTGATATATAATGCGTTGATTTGATGAACCAGTTCTTGGCCTTCTATTTGAATATGCATGAGTGATCAGGGAAAGCTTACCTTCAACCATTATGGGCTCTTTTATGTTCGAGTCGCCCAGGTAAGACAGTGATTTATAGAGTGGCGTGTCTGAAAAATACACCTGATTCAAAGAACAAAGGTTTTTGTTTTATCAGATATTCACTTCGATTTTTCCAAATTTTTATTGCATCCAGCTCCGCACATATAACCTCAATTTCGCATCCATCAATCCCCGCCTCAACCAAAGCAAAGTCAGCCAAGCTGCAGCCTTCACTCCCTAAGCCTGTTTGTGTTCTCGTGCAAGATTATCCTAGTCTTCGTAGATACTAATGTTCAAAGACCCATACTAACCCCAAACGTGGGGGCTAAAACAAACCACCCAGTATATATACAGCCACCGCACCCACATTAAGCACATACGACCATAGGTCACAGAATACAAGGCATCCCGTCCGCTCTGCCAAATTTAAGCTGTGAACCGGCTGATTAGTAGTTAGGTGGGTGACCACTAGCGAATCCCAGCTGTTGTATGTTTTATTTTTATTTTGGTGGTAACTGTTTTACTATTGTTTTCTCTGTTTTGTTTTGCTGATTGGAGGAAGCAGAATGCTTGGCTATGTCTATAGGGCTGTGTATATGCGTTTTCCTGGCGCTGAGCGTTCCGTTTTATGTCAGTGATGATGCAGGGGGGAAATATTCGCTAACCAGCTTTGTTGCTGGGGATATCCAATAAGATGTATTTTGCGCAGTTGAGAAAGGCTGTACGAGATGTACATTGAATGGGCGTAGTTCGAAGACTATTATATCAATCTTTAGAAGCATATTTTTACATTCTGTATTTTGATATATATCCCATATCAGACTCAATAGGGTATTGTTAACGCATTGCGTTCTAAAAGCAACAAACCATACCAAAACCAGACATATAGATACCGCTATTCATAAACAGAGATAGACTGTTCACGTAGTTTCAAACGTCTATATGCTCCCAAAAAAATAGCGCGGTTTAAGAACCCAATTGGTTACAAGACTCTATAACCAGATCACCCACAACGTTCCAAATTCACCGCCAAAACCTAACTTACTCTGCACGCTACATACATGCCTCCATGAACCCTCGACACCAACCAAACACGCCCACGCACCAGCACCTCCCACACCTCCGCATGCACCTGCACAGGACCAGGACCAGCAGAAAAGAGCACTCGTCTAATGCTATATATACATATATATTGAAATAACAAGAGCTATAGCCGGTAGTATATATATATACAGCAGATTTCTCGACGTAGCCATTCCGCATCCAGTCACCCTCCAAAAACCCAGTTTTGTACCAAAATTCTGCCAAAATCCATCAAAGATACTCTGCGTCGATTACCAGGCTGACTCAACCCCACCGAGCAGGAGTTTACTATCAAATGCAATCATGAATTGCATCAGGGGTGCCTGCAGCTCTTCGCGTAACCATAGCGTATAGCGTATGTAGTAGTAACTAAGAGTATCTAGCCTTCAGTTGCTAGTCAACGACAACCACTGTGCCGCGGCGACATCATCGACTGGATATGCTAGTTATAGGTCTGAGCAATTTTCGTTCATTTCTAATACGTACTTATGGCGATCCACGCCAATGACAGCAACGACGACAACGACGACAACGACGACAACGACGACAACGACAACGACGACAACGACAACGACGACAACATACATATATACATAGCTAAACACCCACCAAACAATACACCCCAGCACATCCAATGGATCTCACCACTACGACCACTACAACCCTTCCATTCTATGTAAAGTAGTATAGCGAACCAGCCCGCTCGGCGCACTTCACTTCTTCTCACCTCTCGCTTTACTCTCCCGCCTTCCAATCTTCAACACGAAACGCACCAACGTCTGTCTTCGCACACTCACTCACTTACTCACCACAGCGCAACACAGCACAGCACACAAGACAAGCAAGCAAACAAGCAAGCAAAGGCAGACAACATCAATCAACCATTCAGTCTACGATCATCTTTCTCACAGCTCCAGACTGCCATCGCTAAAACAACGACCCGACACGACTCGACACGGCAAGGCACGCCACGGCACGGCACTCAACCCAGCCTAACCCAGGTAGCCCAGCTCATCTGAACGCGCGCGTGCACACACCACCACCACCACCAACAACACAACACAGCACAGCAGCAGCGGACTCCATCCCAAATCTTCACATCTCAGACAACCAGCCAGGCAACCAATCATGGCGCAAAGAAGGCGTGAAAAACCAAAACAAGACAAGACAAAACAAAACAAAGCAAAGCAAAGCAAAACAAAACCCTCTCATCTCCCCCTCCCACGTTTCGTCAAAAAAGCAGCCACAGGAGACGAAGAACAACACAAGACCAAGAAAAGAAGAACCATCAAGCGCAAGCCGAGGCGTCATGAGCGGAGAC